CGAAATGTCTTGTCGAAAAAATCTGTCATTTGTTTTTTTACTGATCTATACATGAAATGATAAGAATAACTTTTTTGCATTACTGGAATTAATTAAACATTCGTAAAGATCCAGATAAACCCATGATCATGTGGCCTCGTTAGTTAGAGTTGGTACTATAAAATCATTTCAGACTGGCCTTAGTATGCTGGTGACACAAAAAAAGATGCCAAACGCCAGGACAAATGTAATTATTAAAACATTGAGTTTATACTGTAGTATTTTTGTTAATTTTAGGTTCATATATTTAGATTAAGTTATTTTTAGTGTATGTATTATTCTTTCCTTATTCAAAGCTTGTTCAAAAATGATTTTGATGGTTTTACATAGAATTTTACGATTTTTTATAATAAATACTGTAACTTGCAAATGTTGCAATAATAGTGGAATGCAAATATTAATATGTAATTGCATTTGAAATTGAAGAAAATAATAAAACTTAATCCAACTGTTTAGTTGCATCACAATATATGTCACAAACTAAAACTATCTTAAAAATATCTTTTAAGTATACATTATCAAAAACTGTTTGCGGCTCTTTTTACAATTTTCAAAATGCAATGCGGCTCTCGAAAACCCATGAGTTTGACACCACTGATCTGTTCTAAAAGATTCAAGCATTGCTTTGCGAAATATTATCACTTCAATAAAATTGAAAAAAATCTCGCTATATTAAATACAAAATCGTTGCTATCATAAAGGTAAACCAATTCAGCCACTCGAAATATATTGGGCTTCACAAAGCAATGGAGGCAAAATTGAGAGTTTATGAGCTATGAACATTTGTTCTTTTCTTTGTCTTGAACTTTTCATACTCCACAGCCCCTCTTAATTTTTCAATTCTAATTACCATGTGATGGTCATACATATCTTTAACTTGTATTTTCTGTCATGATGTATTATCTCAATGTGTCAAACTATTAATTAGTGTGCATATTTTGCTTCAAGATGACATAAATGTATTGTCTTGTTTATTACCTCTGCTTGGAGTATGGACAAGAAAAAGGTGCCAGTAAATTAGGTAAAAACAATTTTTAACTCTTTGTTATAATCAGAATTCACAATTAATAGGAATTATAAACAGCCAACAATCAATGAGAATTATATGCGAAATCCCTCAAAATAAATTTGTCTAAAATCGGAGGAAGACAAAACATATAGGTAGTTTCCATCCACACAAGCATTTCAAGAAGACTTGCTCGAGCCAAACTAAATGAGCATCGTCAGGTGATCGGTGATGCTGCAAGTTGAATTCAGCCCTGCAACCTCCTGCATAGAAGATAATATTAATTAGTGGGCTATGAGCTGAATTCCTAAATGTAAACAAACCTATCTACGATGCATTATGTACCAGCAATGTTACCTACGATTAACTGAATATGTAATATGTCTAATAAATTCACCTACAAAAGCAAGTTCGATAGGGGCAAACTTTGTGTTATGGAATTGTATCACAGAACCGTTAAGAGAAGTAAAAACATTTTTGCTGTTTTGAATGACACCCTCTTTGAATGAAATTTCAATGTTTAAACGCAAACATTAAAATTACTAACTTTGAATTTTGTCAATATCTGCAAAATGTTCCACTCAAATCCTTCCGCTATCGCGTTTCTAATCTTCTCTGATAAAAAAATCGTCTATGATGTCCAGAATTGCTTTTACAACTTGTCTGCCAATCCAGCTTTCCAAGTGAGCAAAACTTCTTAGATATAAAGATTATTTTCTTTCGTTACAGGCGCAAAAAGGCAGGTACTACACGGAAAAAAGACGCCGAGCCGCAAAAGCGAGCGGAAAACGGTCGCGAAAGGCGACGAGAAATATGTGCATTGGAGCGTATCATGAAATACAATCTTTCGCCTGTAGTCTTATGGAGTGACGTCAGAGTTGCCTATCATGTTGTTTAATGTCATTGCTTACACTTACTAAAGAAAATTTTATCTCTAACCACTGGGTCCAGTCTTCAAAGAGAAAAGCGACCTTTTAGGTTTTCCACTAGGTAGCCAAAAATGTCAAAAAACAACATAATATTGAAAAGATCGTTAAATCCACTAACGTGTCCAATAACGAAAAGGTTAATTATGTTTACTCACGAATTTTAGATGACGTAATTGTGTTGTGACCATTGTGTGACTGTGGAGTCGAATCAGCCAGAACAACAGAGTGTTTGATTGTTTTCCAACTCACTCGCGTAGTCTGGAACTCTCGGTCTATTTTTTGTGGTATTATTCAGTCTAAATAAATTTCTCCATTACTGCTACTGTACTAGTCCTGTAGCCAATAAATTTGTCAGACTGTATACTGTATAGCCTTACCCTTGACTGCTAGATTACTAGTGTAGTCTGCTAGTTACGGTACGGTAGGCCTATTTCTGTATTTATTAGGAGTCAGTGAGTGCTGGAGTGGCAACTGGCAATTTCAGAATTAAAGCTTATAACCTTTAGTTCTTAAATGTCTTACTAATCTTGCATTGCTGCATTGACGGTTGATTGATCAGTTTATTATATATTTGAGTGCGGAAGTAGGCTATATTCGACTGAAAATAGGGATAATAGGGTCTTACTTCGCTAACGTTACTCCAATTTCGTCTGTAGACTGTACCAGTATTTGTATTCATACAACATGAGAAAAATAAGCCACTTACACAAATAAAAATGCTTTCTAGAGAATATTTATGTATTTTTCTCAACATTTGAGCACTAAAAATATCAAAAACGCACTTTTATAGACCTAAAACACCGTCGTAGAAAATGGGAAAAGACGGACACCAGGCCTCTCTGTAGTCGAGTTTTCTCTGGTGAGTTGTCCGTGTAGTCGAGTTGTCCATTAGCCTAAATACCTACCGGTACTACCTGTAGCCTACTAATTGAAACATCATTTATAATATGAAACTTTTTAACGAAATACAGAGGTATTGCTGGCCAGCATTGTACCACTTCGGCTTTTCAGATTGTAAATATATCTGTATATTCTCTGAAATGTTTGTGAGTTCTGTACCAGCAGATAAAAGTAAAATATAAGATTTAAGAACGCTTGGAAAAGTCTTTTTTTATCAGATCAGTTTTAGAGGCATCATTTCAATGCCTAATACAGTATGGCACAGTTCTCAAATTCCAAGAAAAGCTTTACATTGGAAAACATCAATTATAACAGTGAGTGCAAGCCCTGCTTTTATAAGACAGTCTTGGCCTGCGTATTGACGTAAATTTGAAAAGGGCGCTGCGCAAAAACTAAAAGGAAGCACAATCTAAAAACCTCATCATTGAATTCCTCTGGAAAAAATAATCCGATTTGTCAAAAAGAAAATTTTTACCTTGGCATTTGAGAGTTTTTAGCAAAAAACGGCAATTTTGGTGACGTGATGGCCGCTATTAAATTAGATTATTATCGAGACAAGCATGGCACGATATTAGACATTTGTCATCGTTCCAGACGCTCCTTGTTTGTGAGATGCATGGAGATGGAGTGTTTGTTTTATTGAACCAAAAGACGGGACATCCTTGGAATTTGGAAACTGTGCCCTACTGTAATACTATTATACTATAGCTAAATAACTTTTGTAACCGATGGTATCATAGGTTACAACATTTGGAATTTGGTATTTTGATATTTGAAATGCAAATTTTGTATGAACCTATAAAGTTTGCAATTGCATGATATATTTTCATACAGTTTTGTTAAGTGAAGTATGTTTCATATTTTCAGGTGATATATGACTAAACATGTCATGACATTGTGACTAATAAACTTTAATTGACTCATCTCCTCATTTTCATTTTGTATTTCCTTGATCTGCTGATTTAAAAAGCTAGCATACATTATTGATGGCTTTTAAGTTTAGTTTAGATTTGTGAGGAACTGTAAAATTTTATGTTGTTCAAATTTAAATTGACTTGAGAACATATCTTTGGTACCTCAAAAATATTCTATTTTTACTCTATTACTCATATCTTAATAGTTGTGTTATTTAGAAGTTCTTTCAAATTTTCTTAAATCATTCCACAATTATGTTGCCCAAATATGAAGACTTGTCATATTCATGATGAGGTTCTATTTTCAGATTTTAGAGTTTTGAAGTATGAGAGCAAGTTCCCGGGTAAATCTCTCCATCTTTTCAAACAAAGCTTTCAAATAAAACATCATTTCAAAATTGAGAAAAGTTGAATACAAAAGAAAATTGACAGCAGTTTATGAAGTATTTAATGATATATATTTTTATACACCATGTGCAGATTTCGACATTTTTTTTTTGTATCATTTCGGTTTATGATGCAATGGATGCTTTTTTATAGGATGGCTATACAAAAACCTTCCTGTCAATAAATTCAATCTTTCTGTTCTCATAACCACATCCATTGAGGTGAATCACAAAACTATAGACAGATACAGTACAATTCAACTGGTGCTATGATGTATTATTTAAACATAATAGCTCATTATCTTGATGTTTATTTAGGATTGGTTAATTTTAGTATCATTCAAAATAATCTATACTAAAGAATTGCTAGTATTGCTCTTACTTGCTTGTTTATGGAGTTAAATCATGTAAAAGTTAATCTCACATTATTTTTAAACTGTTAACATTTACAAAAATACTTACATACTTTACATGGGCATATTTTCTCTTAATAATCTTAAACCAAATTTTTCATGGATCTGCTTGAAAAGGTTAGTAAATTGTGCAGGTTCTTATGAAAAGTAAGTTTCGTTGTTCCTGTATCAGTGTATCACACTTTCGATTTCTTTGTTTAGTCTATATCTAGTCATTATTACACTATTGTTCTTTGTGTTGTAATCACTGATTTGCAACAATGGTTTGCATTCTTATATTCATCCTATATTGAAAATCCTATATTCTTGACTTCAAATAATTTCTTGTGGTTTGTTTAACCTGGCTTTCTATTAATTGCTTTAATAGTAGCCAAATAGCACTGTAATCTATTAAACCTCATTACTTCTTATAGAATCTTGCAGTTACTATTTATTATATACGGTAATATAGGTATATCGGAAAAATGGCGACCGATGGCCATGATGAAGTGGTGGGAGCAAATGATTCCATGATTTCGAACAACAGCCCTTATCAAGCAACAACAGATCCCGTTCCTCATAGAGGCACAATATGTGGAGGTCTTATACTTGACAAATTGTATCTGAAATCTCTGCCAGGTAAATAGAAGATTTTGTTTTTCTTACTTTGAATTTCAATAAACTGATGAGGGATGTTGTTGTAGGAATATGTTCACCACTACAAATGTTTTCTCGGCGGTGTGGGTGTGGCACATAGTGCTAAGTATAAGGAATATGCTAGCCACCGCACCTCTATTACCTTGCGTGGGTTCGCATCCCACGCGGGGTAATGATGTGCGAATGGATTGCTGGACTCCTCCCGTGGTAGGGTGGTTCAAGTAACGGCTGGTCGGTTTTGGCTTCCGAAAACAAATAACTGGCTAACTGATCCCATACCCGTCATGGACTCGTAACCAGACGAGAGGCCATGGTTCGCCATGTGATTAAACTGTCTCATCGGCTTTTCTATTCATCAGGATAAATATGTAAATCCTATCCTATACCTTTGATGTAAATCTCCGGGTCCCTGTAGTACTCGATTAGACTTTATATGTAGAAGGCTTATTTGACATGTAAATAGTGAATGAATTAATAATAGCTTTTCTCTGACTTTGAACGCCCTTAAAATAATTGGGTCTTGAATAGTAAAGAAATAGTTTTCTGTGATACAAATATGTAATTATAAATCTGAAAAATGAAAATTTATTTTGGTATATGTTTGCTTTTTTTTATAAAAACAAGGCAAAGTAATTTTTTTCATAACTGATCAGAATATGTCTCAGTCTCTCAGAATATATTTTCATACGATTTATAGGGATTCTAAAGATGGTTGAGATACTACTTTGCATCATCATTTTGATATGTCTCGGTGCTGCACAAGTTTGTTCTGGCTCCTGTTCCGGGTTTGGCTTTCTTCGGGGCATGGCTATAGGTGCCATGATCTTCACTCTAATTCTACTTATTGTGTTTGCACTCACTCTCAACAAACAACTCACATTTATCCATTGGTCGGGAACAGACTTACTCAATTCTGCCATTGATGCTTTACTCCTGATTATTGCCAGCATAGTACTTGCAACACAGAGTGCTACTGCGGCTGAAACTGCAGCAGTTGTGTTTGGGTTCTTTGCTGCTATTATATATTGTGTAAGTGCATGGATGGCGTATAGAGTTTGTCGGGTGGATTACCACAAAAGAAAATCTAATGTTGGACATACACAAGGAATACCCCAGGCTTGAGATCCTTAAATAGAGGGGGTTGTTAACTATAACCTTTCATTGATCTTTTATACAAGACAATAATGGAGAAGAACAAAGTATGGTGCTAGATATTACTCATGACAAAAACTACTGTAATCGTTTGTATAATTAACTTATTACCAGATGTCTACTGTTTTTTTATATTTCATTCCTTTGTATATGAAGCAGTTTGATTCTTCTACTCTATAATTAATCCATCTGTTTAAATTTTCATCATCATGGGATATTTTTCCTTAGGTGCTGTCATGATTTTTGCTGTAATCGACAAGAATCATTCATAATAAATATTAAAGCCAGCAGGAATCACATGATAACCCCCCCTCAAACCATGAAAAAAAATGTCATTTAAAGTATTTTCTAAAGAAAGCATTTTTGCAAAAGACTTTTTTGCAAAGTGTTCTAGATTATTGAAACTTCTGAGTACAATCATACACAGACAGAAGTTCAAGTGTTGAATAAATTTTCTTCATTTCTGACGATTATAAATAGAAGTTCATGATTTATAGACATTGACAGGAAACTTGGTCAATTATATGTTAATTTTAAATATAGTTTTTCGAATCTAATTACTTATTGAATTTTTCCAGAATATTCAATATGTACCATTTCCCTACAACAGCACTGAATATTTATTAAAGTCCAAAACAAAACTTTTTTTTTTTATTTCGGTCTGACTCGAATAAACAGGATTTTGGTTTGCGGTTTGAGATTGATTACATGCTTTCCAGTAAAAAGAATTTTCAATGAGTGGCCGTCATGCTATTGATTATTACTATTAAATATTACTTTTTCAAGAGTTTTTAGCCCATTCTGAATTGAAATTGATTTATAGTCCTGTAAAATTGTACCATGTCTCACTGTACACTGCACTGTACTGAATACCACCATTTTTCCCGAAGATTCAAATCTAGACTAGTCTGGGATTTCATCTTGTATTTTCATTATTTTCTAACCAAGGAATAAAGCCTTGATTTGGCATTGAACTGATATGTTTTCTATATATAGATGACTTAATGAATGACATTCCATAGCTTTTATTTGTGAGCCATAGAGCTAAACACTGCATTGTGAAAATCATATATAGCGGTATATATATATTTCTAAAGATGATATTCTAATACTCTGACTAGGAAAATATCTTTGCAAGATACGGTTGCATACCGATTCTCTGTTTGGTATTATTTAATGAATATCAATAATCTATTCACCAATTTTTTCATAATGGATTTTAAATGAAGGTTTACAGAATCTTATCATTACCTATTTCTATTAACACTGAAATTGCATTGTGTGCTATTCTAGAAATATAATTAACAATATATGAATGCATTTTTTATTATCAAGAAATCTGTAACATGATGTAAATACTACCTAGCACTGAAGCATTGTACAAATGTTGGATATTACCTTAATAAGATTAAGTTCATGTTAAATCTCTGTAATCATGTTTTGTCTGAAGCCAAGCTTTCATTCAATTAAGTATGCTTTTGAAGTTAATCCCTTCACATCATTGTTTACTCTTGTTATCTCTAAGGTCCATCAAAGATATGACTTGACTATTTTGGTTCGAAAAAAAAAACTACAAGTGAGTGAAGAATATGCCCTTGAAGTAGCAAAAATATCAGTTATTTTAATTCTTTCCCAAGAGGGCCATTTTTCTTGTTTAAACTTTAGCAATTGGCTTCATAAACTTGTAATCGTAATGTGATATATGTAGTAAATTTTCTTGATTATAGTAGGACTGTGTATTCCAAGCTTGGTTTTTATGAAGTGAGACTGATAGAGATTTCAATTATGTGGGGTTATGATGGATGTGTTTCTATATATTTTTTAAAATAAATGTCAATGAAGTGTTCTGTACATAGCAGCACTGCTCAATTTTATTTTCAAGCTGGTCGAGCCTGACGCGCTTATTTGGGCGTATTGGAGGAGGTGACGATATCCTTTTGCAACACCATGTAGAGATTATATGTCGTCAGCACGAATGAAGTTGAAATGCGAATCGCATTTGGGGAGCCATGCGCGTGACATACGTTCGCGCGACGTCTGTGACATTACGACTTCCCAAATGACTCAAAGCCGATTCATCGGATCGTTTTGTCTGAACAGCGTAAATGAATTACATAATCCGATGGTGGTAGAAAATGCAAATATAAATTTCTTTAAACTTCGGGACATACTGAATAATGATTTTTATTTACTTTAGGGGAAGACATTTAGTATTGATTGCATTGAAGTGAAAAGGAAACTAAGGCGAACATCGCGTATTGTTGACATGAACGAACATGTCAATTTAGCTCTATTAAACGTGATTTCTAATTAGTGGCGATGTTTTGCGTACTGTAATTTATAAAATCTAATTCACGGATCTTAAGTCTCGCTGGGTCGATAAAAAACAAGGATAAATGCTGTTTTATTTTCATATAGGAACGAGGAAAGATTTTACCATTATATGTTACACGGAATTGAAATATGGAACGTTATGTTACTATCGTATGTTGTTATTGACGCATTGCTGTTCAAACTTCCACGAAGCAAACCACCGCTCATTTCGATTGATATAAGTGACCACGTTTCTTTTAGAAAAGAAGTACTCATTGATAAAATGAATGAGGATACAGATTTTACTCATATCAGTGATCAATTCATCATCGATTTCTCAAACAATGCGTTCATACCACCGAGCTCGGTGGTTAGTCACATCCATTATGTTAAACGAAAAAAATGTTATTGAACATAAGTATAGCTATGTATTGTTTTTTGGAATTGTTATCAATACTTTTTTTTTTTTTCTACAATTAATGAACCAATCGATTTCAGGTTTTCGGTGCTCAGTGATGGAGAAGGATATTACTTCTTCATTTTTCCTCTTAGTTCTGTGGGCTCCGATATATCACCAATGTTCCGTTTCAGATATAAAAACTCATCGCGGGTTGAAGCATCTGAACATTCAACGAGACCGTTTTAGCAAACTCCAGTGCTCTCGGGACGTAGGGGAAAGTGGGGAAGGTTGGGACACATTTTTTTTGCTTTTTTTAGCTCTATAATCTGCACATTCATTTAGCCTTGTGGAACTAATCGATAGAGGGATAACTGTAGTTTTTATTAGGCAACTAACAAATTCTCTAGCAAAACTCATATTACGATCAAAAGGCTTTAAAAACGTACGTTTGTCAACTGTCCTACTGTACCCCACTTGTGGGGCACATTCGGATGGACTCTACGGCACAATTAGGCAGTCTGTTAAAATAAACGAGTTATGCTTTGAAAATAAGCAATGAATCAGCATCTGAAGAACTGCTTAACTTCAAATTTGAAAATTCATTATTTTTGAAATCTGAGTCGCTCTGAAAATATTTTCGAATTTTGAATATATTCCTTATTGGGCCATGGGCCGAAAGATACTTTAATATTACATAAGGCGGATTCAAACATCGAACCGCGGACCTGATTCCGGATATAGTATTAGAGTGAAAACAGATTTTCCACTGTGCCCCGTGTCCCACCGTAGCTCACCTTTCCCTACTGTTACCGTCGGACGACTTTTTTTCATCAATACGAGTACCTTTCCGCTAAAATCTGTACGCTTTAAACCAGGGTCGGCCAACCTTTTTGGCCGACGGGCCACATTTAGTTTACTATTAATTGCGCAGGCCACTTAACATGGTAATTATGTTCTAGTTTTGCTACACTGACTAAAAGTTAATGAAGAAAATAAACAAAACCCTCGCACCAAACTTTCTCAATAATAAGAACAATAAAAAAACGAAGATACAGTAAAGTCAACAAAGTTTTTTCTACACGTAGATATTTTAGTGTGAAGTTTGACACTGTTTTTAGCTAAGTTTGTCAATATTCGCTGAAATGGACGATGTAGCAATGCGAAGCGAATTTTCCATATGACTATGATATGAAATTAGTGATCTCACAGGGGATTTGACATGGTTCATCTGTAAAAACAACTTGCTTGTACGAGTACGTGCTGCAAAATTATGAGGTCATTATAACTGTCATTCTGCCCAAGTGTGTAAGCTACTATTTATGTATCGATATCTTCCAGTTGGTGATGACACTCATGGCTCGTTTGAAAGAACATGAAAGCGCAAATCAGGAAAATGAACAAATTGTTTGTATCAAATCTTAGTATTAACCACTTCACTCGAAAAATAGAAGTTTCACTCAATTTTTTTTATATTTAATTCCGGAAATACAGCGCGGGCCACTCGAAACTCCTCGGCGGGCCACAGGTTGGACGACCCTGCTTTAAACCTCACTTGAGGTTCTGTTCGTCCTCCCGATCCTATAATCAGTTTTATTTATTTCGTTTTTATCAATTATTTTATCGTTTATTGCTGATTATGGAGTCGAAATAAACTTTATATTTTTGTTTACACGTATACTTGAGAATGTCTTTATCGGATCGAATATTAGATGATGAACATTGATGATGTTAGATGTGCATGGCTTGTTATTTACCTAAATGGGGCCCAATAATGGGTTTTATCTTGTAACTTCTGTAGGCTATTATGAAACCTGTGCGGGTTATTTATGTGGCCCACGGAGACGTATATTTAGACCCTATTTTGACGCGGTATTCATATTGTTTGCTTCATTTTATTCATCAACTATTCTTTATCGCGTTTATGGACTAATTTCAATATACAACAGAGAATGCTTCCGAAAACAAACAATATAACTAATCCCATACCCGACTTGGAATGGTAACCGGACGAGAGGCCGTGGTTCGCCATATGGATGAGCCGTCTTATCGGCTTTCCTCTCCCCGGGATACATATGTAAATCCTATCCTAATGCGGCTAAAATATACCTTCTAATCTGAACAATATCCCACACTAGAGGTTGATCAAGTGCATAAAGTGTTGCCATCGTAACCGGCAGGCGTCAATCATTTTTTCGTTACAGCGAGCGAACTCCCCATCCGCAGGCAGCTATTTATTTTTAGTTTATGGGATACTGTAATGGTTTTCGTTCGTGATGTAGTCCTGTATTTAATTTAACTTCAATATTATGGCTCAACTTGGGACTTTAAACGGCGGGCATAGAGGCAAAGATTGGCAAAAAACGCAAGATGACCTGGAAAGAAGTAGAAACAAAATACAAGTGGCCTTGAAAGCTGCCAAAGAGAGGTTTGTACGTCTAACAGTACGTCTATAGGCTAGTGGGGTTTCGTTTAGTTGAGTACCACAATAATTTCCAGTGGGCGTGAAGTAACAATTTTGCATATGTCATTTCTAACCCCCACCTGACTACCAAATGTCATCAAAAAATTACGTCACAGTGACGTAATAAGGCCAGCCAACATATACGGATAACGTTAGTTGTCCAGTCCAGTATGTGCAGATGATTAACCAAAGTCCAGTGGGATGTCTCTCTAGTTTTCTCATCGTAATGATTCAATATGGGAGAGATCGCTGGCGTTAGTGAGTTTGTTATCGTCCGCCCAAATGCCATTTCGGACGATCGTAGCTGCACTTTGGCGAGCTATATGATGTGATTGTGACATGGTAGTGAAATAATTGTTGGATGACGTATTCAGGTGGGCGTTGGGAATACCATATGGGGAAATGGTTTTGCCAAGCCCACTAGACGTGCTTGTACTAAACAACACTAGACTCTTATTTTAAATGTTATTTATCAACAGGTCCAAGAAAAACATTAATCTTGCTGATGACATTGACACAAAATTCAATCAATTACAAGTGTTGGGAATTAAACTCATGGACATTCTGAGAGAATCGTAAGTTCTTGAAATTAATTTGTGATAGTAATGAGTTTTAGTGTTTGACCAAATTTTTTAAACCCCTTGGTAACCAGTAGCTGATTGGGGTTGTCTCTTATTTTTTTTCATTCTGAAACGCTTTTTTTGTTGTATGGCTCCAGTTTTTTGAATTTTTATATGTAGATATCATTCTCTAAAATTGTCACTCTTCAACAATTTTGTTTCATTCATTACTAATTGCACATATATTTTTTTGAAACCTACCCTATCAAGTATGTAATGAAAGTTTAAGACAGTAAGACGAGCAACTTCCATATGTACAAATATGGCTGGAAGGTCCGGTGAATCTTTTTGAATTGACATATCTTATCCCAAATTATTTCTCACTTGACAATGGACAAAGCTACATACTTACCCAAAACATGTTGCCAAGTACAGTGGGACCTCGGTAGTAGAACATTGTTCGTTCAAGATTGGTGTTTGAGTGCCAAAACCCTTTTTTGCCAAAAGAAACAATGTTAATTATTGTATTATGTTCTTATGGATTCCAAAATACCCAAAATATTAGTAAAACATGTGTGTACCTAAACAGCCATAAATATAATAAGGATAAGCAGCAACTTTCCCATTTGCTCAATTATTTAAGGCCTTTGCATACTAATTGGTGTCACTCCCTGCACAACATTAACCTTCTTTATCATTTCCCTATTTCTTAATAACATGGAAATGGTAGAATTTGCCATGCTATACCATAAGGCGAGATCAGGCACCTGAACACCATTCTCGTATTTCACAATAAATTTTTTCTTCAACTCAATAGTTGTTCTTGCCTCTACTCCTTCCTTTTATCACTACTTTTCGTTGGAGCAATGATACAAAAAACGGAAAATGCACTAAATCATAAAAATTAATGTTTAACACGTGTTATTCTGCTAATGTTTTGACTTGAACTAATGCTCGTTAAATGGCTGGGATGCACGGTTTGCTGCATGCTCGGATTGGGTGTCGAGCTTTGAATACCCGTTCAAATATGCAGCATTTTTAACTGCGATTTTTTGTCGACTTCCGAATTGTTGAAATGTCGAGGTGTTGACTACCAAGGTATCACTGGTATATTTTTGCATATACAGAGGGTTGGATCAAAGACATGACTGGATTGGTTTGACAGAAAAAATGTGTCAACTTCTTGTACCTCTATCTGCAGCAACACCATTTATGAGTTCATCTGAAGAGAGGGATATAAGGTGCATTTTTCAAAATATGTTCGTTTGAAACAGCAGAACTAAACTTGAGAAGCTGCACTACTATATGCATAAAACCTAGTTCATGATATTGTAGCCAATGTGCATTGTTTAACTATGAATTATAATGTATATAACCCTTTCATTTTAATAGTGTGTTCCATTTCCCACAATAGGTCATTTTATTGTAGCAACACTGATTACATGTACTGCCTTTCTCGTATCGACCAATTTGATGACGTATCGTTCCGGCTTGCCGAGAGGGCTGCATAATATTGTGTTTAGATCCACTTCTGTTTTATTGCATTAAGTGTGATGTGTTTTGATTCACTCCAGATTTACTGTGTTAAGAGTTAAGTGTGTCTCAATTTTATCTGTTTTTGGAATTTGGATTGTGCATCTTCCTATAATATACAACAACGATTAGCATCAACACTGTGTGCTTATTATCGTCTGAAGGAGTCCAGATTGGAGTCACATTCCATAACGCGTGTCAAAACAATAACGCGGGAATCGAACTTAAACATATAGGGTGATAGTCAATATCCCTAAAATCCATCTCATCTCTTTCTCCCTATAATATAATGATGAAAAAGGTTATATTTCACAAATAAATTATAAATAATGGTACTTGATATAAATGAATGATATGGTTTGAGTAATATTTCTTCTTAATTTTTTTTGTTTTGTTACAACAATATTTAAATTTTTGTTTGAATTATAATATCTAGGCAAAAAGATCTATTGGATAGGCAAAAAGAGATGATGGAATTAACAAGACTCATTGGAAGAAAACTTCTGTTTGAAGGAAAACACAATCAAGCAGTCCCTGCTGCAGTACAATCCCTGAAGTATATCAATTATCATTACGAAGTGTTTTACTCATAATTAATTGAGGTTCTGTTGCACAAACTACCTATAAGTAGGGAACTATTTGTTTTGGTAATTTTCGAACTTGGCATTGCTCACCTAATTTGTAACACATTGAGTAAGGTGTTCTAACCAGTAGAACAATGTTTTAAATTTGTTAATATTTTTCCCCCTAAATCGAATTGCTGAAAGACCTATTACACCTTCCGATCAGAATTTAGCATGCTAGCTCAGCGTTTTAGCCTACAATCTGTACAGCGTAGTATTGTTATTATGTCCCTACCAACCGCATAACTGGATGACTAGACTAGGCTCATTGACAATATGTAAGATTGTATGTCCAGCTTTCCCTTTTAGTAGTCAAAAGTATGAGGATTACAAAAGAAATTGTTAAGACAGTGAGCACATGCATTACCACCAAAAAATTACTAAACTACACATTTAGGGGTAATTATCCTCAGTTTAAGAACCACTGCAATATCACACAGATAATAACATGATATTTTTTTAATTTTTCCATTAGTGTTTTTCTTTTTGGGGTGACATCGTTTTTATTCCACTCCAGGTTCAGCATTGATGTACATGGTCTCAACTCTACACATCTTGTTCCTTCATATCTGATTTTAGCAGAAGCAAATATTGGTAAGCAGAAGTTCTAGTAAACAGTGTTCTTGCATTTTATCTTTTTCAAAACAAGAACAATTTATTAAAATAAAATACACCAGATATTCATGAAGGGTTAATGATGGAGGTAGACCAAATGGGTGAATCTATAATCTAAGCCAGGGGCGTGGGCCACAAACTGGCCCGCCAAGCCTTTTAGTGTGGCCCTCTATAACACTCAGATTTTTCCCCATCAAGCAGTTCCACAGTTCATGTTTAAAAAGTCGCTTACATGGGTAAAAAATATATAATATTTTTTGCTCTTATCGCTGCGCCGAATCATTCGTTGTTTCTCCTGGCGTCTTCATTACACAATGCTAAGCAATTGCCGCAATTTCTTCTCTTGCCCTCCCCGCATGGATAAACTAAATTTATGTTTTGTCCGACTAGATGTCTGGAGTTGGTTATAAAAAGTGTTTAACATTCCTGATCTAAGTAAGGAAGATAAGGAATCCCTCATCACTATGTAAATTATATTTTCATACTGTTATGTAGGACTTGGCAAGTTAACACAAGCCGATGAATATTTGGCACAAGCGGAATGGACTGTTCTCAAATCACCTGATGCAAAAGATTCTGTGAGATCAAAGTTGTTCAGAAATATAGGATTACTTCATGCAGCTAAAGGAGATTATGAAAATGCATTGAGAATGCTAGCAGAAGATGTAAGTAAAATTATCTGCGATTTCGGGATTTACGTTTCCCGTACCACTGGTCCGGCATATAATAGGAACATAGGGTTTCTTCAAGATAAAATCAGTGGCTTATAACAATACCATCAAAAAGAATAATAATATTCACGAAGCTTTCACTATTGCATAGTCCACTTCTTTAGATCAATATGCTATAGTGCAGAGGCGTGCAACCTACGGCCCATGGAACTTATTTGCATGGCTCGACACTAACACTAACAACATCAAAGCACATATTGCTGTGAGTCTTTCATTTCAAAAATGAGTCTGTGCGAGGCAAAATTCGGGAATTGTTTTGTGGGCCGTCCTATAGCATCACCATAGTTATTCGTTTTGGCCCTTTGTAATAAACAGTTGCATGCCGCTTTTCAGCTTATTGAACTGTAATTGTTTGTATCAATTTTGTTAAAAATTCTAAATTGACGAATATGGCATATCATAAAGATTTCAAATAACTATGACTTCTAGTAATGAGGTATAAAAGTAGTGCTCTATCATACATATAGCAATATTCTTATGTGGGATTTTCAGATTTATCATGCAAGCTGTGAATGGGATTCTAACCACATCAGAACTTCTGGTGGATATTTTCATATGGCAAATGTCTTCTTCAGACAAAATAAAATGGACACTGCAGACACTTTATATACACAGGTTTGAAATATTTTCTTGCGATTCTGTTTCATTTCAAAAAAATGAATGATGTGTTTCAACCTTTCTGTAGGTGGTGGATATTTGGCACAACTTTTTGAAAGACGCCGTTGAGAGGAAAAGGGTATATGAAGAAGAATTGGCAGCTGTCGGACCTTTCGGAAAAACGCAGGACACCGAGAAATACTTGGGTAAAATTTTGACGTCATTACTTAGCATAAATTCAATTTATTTTCAACGCTCTATACAACTCTAGTCTGGTTCCTATTTTAGATGAGGCACAAGAAGCTGAAGCCATACAAATGCTCAGTGCTGTTTTTGATATTCGAGACCAGTCTTCAAAGCGCCAAGTCAATGCAATTTCAAAAATTTGCCACACGCTATCAATGTTGTATTATATTTTGGATGATATACCTAGGGTAAGTTCTCAAATTCCAACATATTGTTATGTTCTTGATATCACAGGTAAGCTTCAATGGCAATATTATTTAAAGATTTCAAACATGGGAGCCTTAAAGTGTGATGTGATCATAGCTTCATGGCAACCAATTTTCTTTCTAAATTTCAGTCAAAAGACTACGGGAGAAAAGCAAAGTCATTGGGAGATCACAGCAAAGAAACGGAAGAATCAACTTCTCTTTTAAATTTTCTGCAATTTTTAGAGGAGGGCCACTAAGATAATTTTGATTTCAAGACTTACCGTAATATCTAATTGTAAAATTTCTGTTCAAAAGTATCAGGTTCTAAGCAGCATCAAAGATTCTTCTTACAGACCTCAATGCCCTAGCATTTGCATTTTGCCTCAAAACTGACTTATTAATTTCTGGATCTCTCTGCCTATTGCGACTCGTTTCTTTAGTTTTATATTCTAACCTGTTTCTCACCAGTCATTTGAATGAAGTACCCCACTTATATCCAATAAAAAATAAACTACTAAACTGAGCACTGTATTTTTTAGTTTCTTCTGATAAAGTTTATGTGTAATGTATATATATATTTTCTGCTTTTATTAATAAATAAACGTAGAAATGAACGTATATAAATGGTTGCATGGGAGTAGTAGAAATACATTTTTTCATCAGCAGGTCTAGCTTCGTGTTATAAAAGAAAGCGAGCCGAACACTGGAAGTAGTCTGTCTATTGGTCTTCTTATAATGTACACGCATCTGCATTACACTGAAAAATTTTCAAATTGTTGTATTTTTTCAGAAAAGTAGGTAACATATTGCAAAGCATGGCAAGATTATTTTTGGCAACAGCAAGTTTTATATGCTAAGCGTTTGTGTATATAAATGCACCATTGATTACAGTAGCACCTTATCATTGATCTATTTTCTGAGCACATTAGTCTTTGCTTACTGATGGTCCAGAGTCTTCTGATTTTTCAATCTTTTCTTGAATTCCCAAAGCTTGAAGAATTTTTTCATTTTCAACATGATCTGCGGCACTTTGTTGTTTGAAATTAAATAAAATCTCTTCACCACCTAAGATATACAAAAAAGAATGAAGCTCGTACTGAAGCATACAATCCTCTTTATTACTACTTTGGTATTATTAAAGGTATTTTTCAGATTAAGTAAAAAAATATTCTAAATACTACCCCAGTACAAAAAGCACACTACATCAATGACATAGTTTAGTAAATTGGAACCATTGAATTTCCAATTTAAGCAATTTAACTGAGGTCTTTACCTTTTTTAACAACCAAAACTCCTCCCATCTGCATCAAATCTCCACTGAAATTTCCTTTTAATCCTTCTTTGCTAGCTAAATTAGCAAGTTCCCTTGTTTTTGAACTCAAAGCACCTCCAAGAACATTAAACATGTTGTACTTATTGTAACCAAGTGCTTTATAACACATTTTCTCTGGATCATAGTATACATCTGAAAAATCCAATTCAAAAATTTTATCCAATATTCGTTTGAAGATGTAGTTTATGAAAAAATGATTTGCAACAAAGGAAGGATAAAACAGCATACACTTAGAATTTGTATTCGAAAAACTTTCCATTTCTTTATTTCACTTCAGAAATAGCAAATTCAACCTATAGCCTACAACTTCTAGAAATTTTTTAACAGATTCACTTTTCAATTGAATAAAATTGTATAAGGCAATGAAACGTCAAAAAATTCACCCACAAGTAGAAACATATTAATTACCTCCATCCAGATGCTTTGCTTCATAAAATTCTTTGGAACCCAGTTCCTCAGGGCCAATTCCGATCAATTTAACATCGTGTTTATCTAGAATTGGTCTCAGTTTGCTAATTTGTCTGGCAAGGTACTGACACACAGGACAACCAAATCGACGAATAAAGCACAAAACTGCAGTATTTTCTTTCCATAATGACTGGATTTCTATAGTCTGGGAATACAGGAATATATGATATTTAATGTTTAGTAAAGAATAAATCTGTCTGTCTGCTAAAAATAAACTTATTAGTGAATTTGCAAGTTGATATAGGCTACAAATGTAAGACAATCAAAAAACTACCGTACTGGACTAAAGTTAGAACTGTAGAAAGAGGGCACTTGACTTTCGTATTCTGGCAAGAGAGCTAAGAATAATGTCTACTGCCCTACTAAACCACAGTTTTCGCCCACTATAATTAGCTCGTTAAAGGAACATTTGCACTAGAAAGATACCGGTAATCTGCAATACATTAAAAAAAATTACCTCTCCATTGGGCACCTTCTTTAGGGCGTTTGAAGCAATTTTCTTCAGTAAGTCCATATCTGCAGACATGTTTTGACGATTCGATCTGGAAAATAGCTGGGAAAGCTTCAACATTGACTGATAACTTAGTGAGACAACAAAGAACAGAATGATTACGGTTACGTCGCCTGCAAATCGAACTTTATCAATAAAAATCATGATTATGCAACATGAGCAGTCGGGCGTGTCAATGTAAATATCGAATTTCATAAATAAAGCATAAAGTGCGTAGTCACCATCTGCGCTCCGGAGCCAACGTGTAATGAGAAAATTATCGATTACGTAACGAATTACGTAAAATTAGATTATACTAGGCTTTTTGCGACGGATCTTAAAAAATTTTACTTAATCAAACGAAAATATGCTTCAACAATCTGTTGGGTTTTCGTTAGTGCATGTGTAGTATTATGCCGTGGTCAAAATCTATTAAAGGGCCTAAACGAGTTCGTAGTGAACTTCGAGGCCGAACCTAACAAGCCAAAAGTTTAATTTACAAAATAAACAAAATTAGCATCTTCAAAGTGGACCATTGTGTCACAATTGATAATGACGACACAGGCCTTCATAACCCATATCTATCATATGAAATGCTACTTGCGTTGAATTTGTACGTCAAATACTGAAACCTTGGATGAATTCGTGAAAGAAAATTTTAAGAGTTAAACATCTAAATAATATGACGTAATAATTCAATCGGTAGTCGTCGTCATGTGACGTCATAATTTATTTTCAAATTATTTTTTTTCGATATTATGCTGCTGTGCCTATATACCTATATCTACCTACCTGCCTATATACCTGGCAATCCCCCTTCTGTTATCAGTACTCTCTCGGTTCAATTTATATTTTTCAATTTTGATCATTATAAATAACATGTTGAAGAACTAGTTAGTATTATTTGATTTCGTTTCACGTTATCTGCTGCTGAAATCAATAGTTACGATGTCGCTGAATCTGACACGATGAATCGACAGTCTTTCGTGACCCCTGTTAAATTGCATTCGCGATGTTGTATGTCTGTCTGTTTTTTCAATTGATGTATGTATATATATGATTTATTTGTTCAATTGCACGCTGAACCTACAAATCCGAGAATCCAAGAATAGAGCTCACATTTTACATTTACACTAAAGATTTGAAGAAATCTCAATATACGCGATACGTTACCGTTCTCCTATAACCTGAATTGAAAAAACGGAGTTTTCTCTAATAAACTTCTTTCGGAGCCGAAAAAGATGTGCCTTTTTTGAAATAAGGTTGAAAAAAAACTAATAGAATTGTTTTCGATGTGAAGTATAGATTTTTGCGTGTTTTTGATAATATATGTCTGCGCAGACTAGAATAACTCTTTTTGAGTTATTGTTGCTGCACTTTTTCCGGTACAGCATCAAACGACATATATATTGTTAAATTGGCCAGAAGTTATCTTTAAGTTTCATTTAAAGTTTCTCTGGTAGTTTTGCAAGTTTTCCTTTGGGACAAATTCTCGCAAACAACTCCTGCCACTTCTTTCAAAAGTTAACTCGAATTCTATTGAACAGCAGAAATTGTTTGAAATTAGTTTGAGTTCATTGAAACATTGGTACTACCTGTAGTAGTATATATTTATTTATCATAATAAATTTATCAATTTCCAGAAATTAATATTTGAAACGAATCAACAGATGAACATAATCAGTTTACACGATCCAATTGGCTCGTAGTAAAATAGCGCTCCCGGCGTTTTGCCCTTTCGCTGTCAACTTAGAAGCAGTTATCAGATTGACAATTACTTGCAAGCTTGTGACGTTTCGACGTGTGGAGGATAAAATAGGAAAACAAAATGAGAGACATGCGCATTCTTTTTATTGCCTGTATCAGTTTTGGGACAGTTCAATTCACCTACAGCACGAAAGATCCACTTGTAACAGATTTGGTGTATTTCGATGTTACCATTGGCAAAGAAGAAGCGGGAAGGATAGTGTTTGGTCTTTTTGGAAAAGTTGTTCCAAAGACAGCTGAAAATTTTTTACGACTAGCAGTTCATGACAAAGGATACGGATATACTGGTAGCAGATTTACTAAAATTCATAAGACGTACAGTATCATTGGTGGATCTTTTACTCATGGAGATACCAAAGGAGGAATTAGTTGGTTTGGTGCTCCATTTGAATGTGAAAATTATGATCTACGCCATTATGGCCCTGGCTGGGTCAGTATGGCAAGTGTCGGTAGAGGCGATCTGGGATCACAATTTCATATCATTACTGAAGAACTTTACGGAATGAGAGCATGGTTTGATAAAAGATACGTTGTTTTTGCAGCAGTTGTGTACGGTATGGATTTAGTTCTCAAAATAGAAAATATGGAAACGTATGGCATGATTCCCACTACACCAGTCGTTGTAAAGAAATCTGGAACTTTAAAACTTGAAAAGCCCTTTAGAGTTGAAAGAGAATATATTACAGACGATATCGTTTCGTGGCTAGGGGAGAAATTATGGGATAACTAAAAATAAATTACAACACTAAATTGTCTCGGGGCTACACTGTAGTAACGTACTTGGTTGACACGTTTTTTCTAGCCTGCGGCTGTCTCACGTCGAATCAAATTATGGTGTGGACTTCGTATACAACAACGCTGCAACCTACGCAGGCTTGGTGGGTGTTTTGGTAGAAAATGAAGTTTATTACTGTTGTTCGTGTGCACTGTTTTCAAATATTATTATATGTATTTATATTTATTGTGGGATCTTTCGGAGCAAAAAATCCAATAGTCACCGATAAAGTGTTTCTAACTATAGCAATAGATGGTGAAACTGTGGGTGACATCGTAATTGGTCTCTTTGGAGAGATTGTACCAAAGACGGTGAGGAATTTTAAAGAGCTTGCTTCTCATAAAAATGGTTTTGGATATCGTGGGTCTAGATTTCATCGAGTTGATAAATTTTACTACATCCAAGGTGGATCTTTCAAATATGGGAATATCACTGGAGGCACAAGTATATATGGAAGGTATTTTGAAACCGAGAACTTCAAGCTGAAGCATTACGGCCAGGGTTGGGTAAGCATGGCTAACTCCGGCCCAGACAGAAATGGATCTCAGTTCTTTATTGTAACGTACCAACTGGAACTTTTTGACAATAAAAATGTGGTTTTTGGTAAAGTTTTGAGGGGAATGCCAATAGTAAAAATGATTCAATCCTTGGAACAGGGAAGCGCGAAGCCTCCGAGCAAACCATGCATTATTGTGAACTCAGGAACAATAGAAGTTGAAAAACCTTTTCCTGTCTCCAAAACAGGTTCACCAGACAGAGATCCTGTTTCTTTAAAAAGTGTTCATTCTGAATTATAACATAGGAAACTGCATTTATAAATATATATACTTTGTATTCCAAAATTATAGGAATATTATTGAAGTACCCCTGTGTGTTTCAATTTTGATATAATTTACACTCAAATGATACAATATAAGGTTTGGACACATAAAACCTCACCTGGCCAATGGCCAGTAACGTGAGGATTTTAGCTGATGAATGGAAAGGTTAGATATAAGCGTATTTGTGGTATATATATCAAAAATGTCTCGAACTGTACTAATTTGTTGCTTTAAATCCAGCTCTTTGGATTTGAAGTTATAACTTAACTTCCATAACAAACGAAATTTCAGCGTTTCGTGAGACCCCATACTTATGAACAATGCTTCATTGATAGTGCCGTGAAATGCTCTAGTTGTCTACTTCACCAAAAATCCTAAAATTATTATATTGTCGGATGGATTTCCTTACTCCGGTCAGAATCTTTTCATCTATATTACTACTATTGTAGTTTCCAATTCACCATTTTACTACAAAGTTTATTGAATGAATAAAACGAAAATGTTGCACAATAGTAAAAAAGTAACGGAAATTTCGTGAAATGTTCTCCGATGACATGTAAAGGTTATTTTTAAAACCTGAAAAATGTCTAAAACCTGAATATATCATTTTCATTATGAAATTTCAGATTACATTTCATCCTGGTACCAAAGCCAAACATTGGTTTGTTTTGGCACCCCAACATTTTTGCATGATGATTCATTCAACATTCTACAGTGAAAGCTTATTTGTAGGTAAAATAATAAAATTAATGTGAGAGGCGTTTCACACTATCGCTCCCAACAAATCTCCACGCAAGATATAATTTAGATTGAACCGAAGATATTGTCTTTAGAAATTGCACCCGTTTTACTACAGTTAACGCGCATAATAAATTAAGACACAGATAATGAAAAAAAATATATATATACAATTCAAGTCTATCAAATGAAGACTTTTAGGCAGTTATGTGAATTTAAGCGTAAGCAAGATGAGAATCTTAATAATCGTTAACGAAAACAGCCTCGGCAGATTCGAAGATGTCCCCAGCAAGAATTTGTACCAGAGGACATTTGGTAACATTCTGTTGTTAATAATCAACAAACAACTCACAGCGTCTTTTGGAAATATCTCAATAGGCTACATTGAATTCGAAAAAGAATTCTTACCAAGTTTTGTTTAAGATACGAGTCGGGTATTGTCAGAAAACTAGTGCCGTAATCTTTCAATAAGCATTGCGGACCCATTTAAAACCTTAACGTTGGCACTTATGCATAGTCTATCAAATTGTTTACAGATTGGCCCACTCACTCGTGGTTTATCAGTTCAATGTCCCATACCCACCCCGGTGAGGAAGGGGTGGCCTGGAACTGATGTCTATTGGCTGATCATCAGCCGGTTCAGCATAAATAGCTTGAGTTTCTGGTAAACTTTGGCGCCTTGAATCATCCGATACAGTAGGAACACGGCTTGTTGAAGCGTAGTCCACTACATTGTTCATTGACTGTGTGCGCTGTCGTTGTTGGATGTTGTCTCCGCCGAAAGCAACAGTATCGCTGTCGCCCTTCTTCAAGTTGAAAAAGGTCAGTCGTTTCTCCATCGATTCAATTAGTGGCATACTGGGGTTTCTAGGAGAAATATTTAAACCATAAAACACCAGAAAATCATAATTTTGAAAGATTTCTATACTCAGTTATAAACTATTCTAATCTAGGGTAGGATTTATTGTTAGGCAATGTTACTGAAGCATAGGAGCCTCAATCTTTCGGGGCCTCGACATTCAATTTCAAACTATACTTCATTATTTCTTTTTATTTGTAATGGCTCGTTCCTAAATAAAACAGGTTCAAAGTTGAATAAAACTGATATTTGTTAAAAAATTTTTTTAATCAAGTTGAGTATTCCGAATATTCATCGTTAAAAAGGGTACAACATTAGATGCGTTTGAACAAATGAATTTGTCTATATTAAAAAAAGAAACTCTTCCTTTAATCTTGAATAAAAAATATAGTTTAAAATGATTGGACAGATTTTACAGTAACAATGCCTTTACTTTTAAAAAATTAGAGTCGGGTCGAGTCACCAAAGTCACAAGTCGAGTCTGAGCGACAGTAGTTTCGGGGACAGCGAAATGTATATATATATTACACTGGTGATACACTTACTTGCAATATCTGTATCCGATAGCAGCCATAAGCACAATAATAAGAACCACGACAACTGGAATCAGTAGATAAGCCAACTCCATCTTGGCGCTTCGCTGTTTTACTGGTTCGTTCATTTCTTCATCTGTAGCGTTTTTTACAATAAGAAAATTTTTTTTTTACGATAGAATTATAGAGTGCAACTGACTAAATACATTCTATCTTGTGAATTCGTTACATGGAGATTTACCATCTCACAGCAATGCAATAATACACAGTTGAGTATCTCTCGGTATTTCAGTGGTCATAGGAAAATAATTTTTATAGATCATATTTATATGCCCTTCGCTCTGTAAGACAGCCCTGCCCGGTACAGAACTACAACAGTTTGAAACAACCAGAATCTTTCCGCTTATAGGCATTGGCCAACCAATATATAACATCCTGGGCGAGGTGGTGAGATTCAAACCCAATATTTTAATTCGCGATGCGTTTCTAAACTTAACGCTTCTCTTTACTTTTGAGCAAGGGCACGTAATCAGATATTTTCAAGGGTAATCTTCAAATGATTTCAATTATTAAAATTCAATGTTATGGTATTTTTACTAATATAACATTCCCAACGTTTTGGTGTTAAATGTAGCAACACATATATAAATAAAACATTGTATGTTTGTTCATAAATTCATATCCATACAGAGATTCACTTTTAAGTAGGTAACCATACAACTTATATACAAATATTCGAATTTTACCTTTCTGCGTTGTATGCTTTACTTTGGTTTTCGTCGTTGGGTTTACAGTAGATACCTTTGGCTTGGTTACTGCAAAAATAACACAGTGAATACATAATGAAACATTACATAGACGTGTATGAATCGAAGATAAAAACATATATAATCCATGGCTAATTTTTACCAATAAATGGAGTGTACAATCAATAGATAATTTTAGATACTCACCGGGTATGCTTGTTGTTGGTGTTGCTGTTGTAGTGTTCGGTTTGTTTGGTTTGGTACTGCTACCATTCACGTTTGCTGTAGTTTCATTGATACCAGTCTTGTCTTCTGTAATGCAAATATAGGTATAAGATATTTACGATGTATGCTTTGATTTTAAGTTGTGAGAGTGTTTCTTGGCCATTTAAATTTCACGTTAACTGCTAATTGCTGGAATCTAAACTGTAGAAATATACCTTCGATCTTCTTAAATCGAGAGTGTCTTTATTTTCCGGGAGATTCTTTGCTTGGAACAAAGATTCAAATAAAATCTGTTTCAGATTAAACAACTTTGAATTGTCAGAATTTAATAAGAACGTTTACAATGGCGTGCCGGGGATACAGCCCCCAGCTTTCACAGTTATGACGTCATAATATCTGTATTGTGGCGTAAAGTTTTTGTCGTGACGTCACCCGATTGGAATGTCTATTATAAAGCGTGTTTAATAGTATTTCAAACCATCGCTGAACGAATATCTAACCAAGCAAGTATGGATATGTAGACTTGATTCAAACAAGACGGAGAGAGAATTATTTTTTATGCAAACTACATAACAAAAAATACTGAAACTTGATACATGAAACTTAAGTAAAACCAATCACCTTCATCTACCCCTTCATCTTTGTTTGGATCCAAACACGCTGGTTCTCCTTTCCATTTACCGTTTACAACACACGTAAAATGATTAGTTAACATCACCTTCTTTCCATTAGTGCACGTGACATTAACACGTGATCCAAGTAAATTGTCACATGTCATGGAATCAATTTTGACGTCATCGAACGATTTTGCATAACTTTGTGCCGATGGACATCTCACAACTAAAATGGGTTAAAATGTCATACTGTTATTTCGTGATTGGCCCAAAGGGATTTTCATGCATCTGACAATATCACGTGCATTGAAAATACGTATTTGGGTTGATTTTCAAGCGCCATTTCGAATTTTGGCTCTGAAAAATGCTCCTTATAAGTTATCAATGTTATCCAAGAGACCACTATGTCTTGAAATAACTAAATTAATTTCAATTTGATTTATGTTCTTTCAAAATTTTTCTACCTGGATCAGGTTATGAACATGTTACTTGAATACAAAACCATTAAACTTTGATGCCAGCGTACTAACTAATGGTAATACAAATTAAACTAACTTATTTTCCAATTAAAAAAAAAATACAATTGTACCTTTGATAGTGATGGAGAAATGGCATTTGTCCGTGTTTCCTGCTGCATCAGTAGCAATATAGATATGTTCATATCTTCCTTCATCCAACTTTATTGGAGGTAGATTTTTTGGGGATTTTGATAATGCAACTCGACCCGAATTATCACTAGCAACAGGTACCTTTAATTAAAATAACTTTTCGTATAAACAGTCTATTGTAACGATAAAAAACTAATTGACAGATTCCAGTCTTTCATGCATATTAGTTAGACTCGGATGATATTACAAAATAACAGCTAACAGCGATTAACTTGGAATGAAAATGAGCAACCACACGTAGAAATTTTACTGATTATCGAATGCTGTAAACCTTGTTCCGGGATTCCAATTGCCACAATTATTTGATGTTAATGTATTTCTTACTCACCGTATAGTTCACGAGTACTTTCGTCTGACATGGTGCTGCGGTGAAAATCATGTTCTCGGGGCATGTTTTTCCAAATGTTGGTGGTTGGGTGTCAGCAACACCCTTTTGTGGTTCGTCACATGTTCCATTATGCTGAGTTCCACAAACACATACTCTGGTTACTTTAACATTTGATGATTCGTTTGTTGAATCTGACGGAGACTTCGGCACGGGAAGACAAAGTCCTGTACAGTTGCCATTGTTGACTCGGCAAGGGTGATGCACTGGAATAGGATATAAGCACGGATCAAAATATGTATGCCAATTAGAGATAACTTTGTGCAAATGCGAATCTGATATTGTCGAATATTGATCGATGCCGACATTATACTTTGACCAAATATTATTTATGACGGACAAGATACAAGCCATTTATTAAACATCATTAAAACTTTAATTGATGACGTATGCATGACGTAACAGATATCAATGACAATATTTATCAAGCAATCAAACTTTTTAATAAGTCCGGTACGATGTTCGTGAATTTACTGCATTTTTTTTAGTTTGTATTTTAAAATATCGGCAATCGAATAGTTTTGGATACATACTAATGCCGATATTGTCAAATTTAACAGATAATATTTTCGGCATATCAAAATATTGATACATACATTTCTCCATATCGTTAATGCTTCTTGTTTCAATAAAATTATGAATGTCACATAATTTGCTGAAAATCTTCGGCCCAAAAGGTTCTCCCTTGTCTTGTGGTGATGCTTTTTTCACTCGCATGACAGAATGATCATTCCAATCAGTCCAATAGACGTAATCTGCAAAAAAAAATGTGTGAAGTTAATAAAGTACCAGCAAATAAATTATATTTACGTCAAACGCCATGGGTGCATCTAGTGTTATGCCGGTAGACGACTCTAGTATGCTTGAAATCATAGGCTTTGTACCGGTACCGTTAAATGCGCTCGAATACCGGTACCGGTGAATGTGCTCGACACTTGCCAGCAAAATAAGTGATGGGAAACACACATACTAATGCGCATTTTCAAAAGTAGTAGAATTTTGTGTACAGCATTGGGCCAACGCAACTCAGAGGACATACCTAGTCAATGGTATTTCAATACAGTGGTTCCCGAGCTTTCTACACCGGACAGAGGAAAATTAACAAAACGAAAAAACTGTTTTTTTTGCATCGATTGTGTGTCTAATACAAATAATCATAAAAAGTTCAGACAACGAACTGTTGTGCAAAGATGCCGATTTACAAATTTGTTCAAATGATACGCAAGTCATGTGATTTCATTTGCTTATTTTAACTTCTGGGACAGAAGCTGGTTAGAGATACAGAAATCAACTACAATATTCAATGATTAAGCATGATACATATGTAGCAGGGCTCCCAAACTGGAAATTCCGATAATTTGTGGGGTCGGTAACAATTCTGTTGCCCTCCTATTTTGCAACGAATTATTGATTTTTATTGAGCCGTGTTACCTTCGGCAGCCAAGATTGGGAAACGCTGCTTCAAGAGACACTTTCATAGTCGATTATTGAAAATTGTAAAGTGCCTATTTGATGGATAAGCGAGGGGCAGGTTTTGCCCTATCAACAACAACAACACGATCCACCTACACAACAGCACTTTCTCAAAATTATTTATAACTCTCCTTTGTGCCTAATGATAATTTTTATACTGAATTTTTCCAACGGTATATTACCTTTATCCACTGTAATTCCAAACATATGTACACTCCTAAAACTCTTGAAAACTCTTTTGTTTTTGCCATCGTGATCTGACACGTAAATTTTGTCTCTGTGTGCATCTACCCAATACAATTGTTTCTCTGAAAAACAATATAAAACACATTAAATATAATATAAAATTCAGTGTAACAACATTATAGTCTGTGACCATTTCAAGTTAAACAACCTTGGTGATCAACTGCTATTCCATTCGGCCAGTTCACTTCCGTCGTAACTATTTTCTGTCGGTTTTTGCCATCCATTGTTGCCATTTCTATTGTTTTTGTCATCCAATCAGACCACCACATCAAACCAAGGAATGAATCGATAGCCAGAGCACGGGGCGATCTAATCCCAGTCGAGAGCAGCGTCTTCCGATGTGTTCCGTCTACCCTGATTACGTTAATAGTTCCGGTACCTACAGTCAAAAAACAACAACAAAGCATTGGGTGTGAAAGCACTTAAAAGGTTCTTATATCGCATAGTTTTTGTTAACCTTCATCCATGACGTCATTGGTGAAATGAAATTATTAAAAATTGTAATGCCAATATTTGCTTACGAGACAAATGGGAACACAAAAGTCAAATTGGCCACCGCAATGTCAACAAAATTCCAGTCAAAATTCAACTGAATGTCATAAAGAATTGAACTGAATGTCATACGAAGGTGTGCTCAACAAAATCAAGGACGAAATGTCGGGCTTATAGGAGGAAATTCTTCACTCTCAAATAGTAAGAATTTATTATAAGTTAGTTAATAAGTTAGTATAATTGAGTAGAAAATCATTTTTTCACAATAACAACAGCTATCCCAAGAACCCAAACCTTCAACAATTTTGCAAAACATTCTACACTTCCACTTCGTGTCTATAAATACAAGAAATCCCAATTTTTCAATATATCGGAATCAATTGAAAAAGTTCAATTTCAAAGTTATAAACGTACGGCACCATTCTACTCACCTTCGTCCGTCCAGTACAGGTTACCCGACATCTTATCAAGCGACAAACCTGTTGGTTGCCGAACGTTTGCTTTCGCTAGAACCTTAAATTCTGTTCCGTCCCATTTCGCTGAATTCACTGATTTCATTCCAACATCAGTCCAATAGACCTACAACAAATATAGTTAGTATTAGACACAACATTTTTGTAAATCAGAGATCACCATGTCAAAAATTTGTAGCAATTTACCATTTTTGTTTCTGGATCGAACTCAACTTGCACTGGAACTCGAACACCTGGCAGTTTCAGCCTTGTATATTGTGACCCATCGGCCGATATTTGAAAGATCCAGTGCATATCAGCATCGACGGCAACGAAAAAGTCTTTTTCAATCAGAACTGTAAACAGAGATCAGATTTATAATTCCGTTCTAACTTCAATATATCAGTAACGCGATTTTCATCGAAACATTTCCTCGTCAAAATGCCACATTAACTTTGATGAAATTGCTTCAAAACTGCACGAAATAGAAATGCGAAAAACGCGGGTTGGTTGTACATAGATAAATAGATTGCTGATATTTACTGCCATCGAATCAAAGTCCAGGAGTTATTTAATTGAAGTAAGTGCCATGCACGAGATAAAATATTTAATATTTTGATTCTTTTTGATGTGTTGTAATATTATATCGTGAGAAAATATCATTTTCAATATTTTTTTGCTTTGAATCGCTGCAACAAACAATACTTTGGACCGACTCTCCAATTTTGTTGTGAAAATATAGTAAGAAAATGAAATTAACTCATGAGAAATGTGAAAAACGAGGTAATTTGGACATTAGATTTAATATCCTATCATCCAAATATTGAAAAAAAATACAGAGTCGAAATTCGGCGTTTAGTGAAACCAAAAAAAAAAAACGGAAAACATTTGGAATATATATGGAGATATTATGTGATCCAAAGAATTTTATTAACAAGTGGATCCAATGATGAACACGCACAAAAAGATTTCTATTCCGCAAATCACTTATATGAAGAACTAATACAGTTACCTGAAATACAGCTCTTCCCGTCAGGTGCAAGATCTAATCCCAATGAGCATCCGCATGTACTGACATTGCCAGGTGGTTGCGGAAAACAAAGTTCTTCGCATCCACCGTTCTTTATATCACAGGGACCTTGGAAAATTATTGTATGTTTGAAGTAAATAAGCCACAAAAACTATTATATAAATCAGTAATTCGCTAGATAGCACTTTAAAGAATAAGCATAACTAGTGGGCATAAAAAGCTAGTTTGTGGCTATAATGCGGACATCGTATTCGAGGTGGAAACATACGTGAACAACAACAAGATTGCCTTCAATTTACCACCATATATTCTACTAAGAACACAATTCGTTTTATGTAGAGTTGTTCAGAACGAGTTTATTATTTCCAAAAGTAAATACTTCGTGGCGATGAAGATCTGAAACTTGAAATCTATTGTTGTTAAGAACGTTCTTGAAAACATAGGCTTTGTACCGGTACCGTTAAATGCGCTCGAATACCGGTACCGGTGAATGTGCTCGACACTTGCTCGCGAAATAGGTGATAGAGAACTCAGTGTTCTTACGTGATAAATAGCCGTTATGGAAAAAGCAATTTCAAGGTAAGCGCAAGGTGAATTTATAGAAATGAGTCAACTTTTCCTTATTTTCGTCGAACCGTTAACAAAGAATTATACCTGGGTATTCGGGCTGACTGTTTCCTCCTACGACAGCAACGTCGTGAGGTGATGAAACTGGTAATTTGTTTTCTACTCCTCCGTTCTCCTTGTTGATGGTAACTATTTGGTTTTGACCTTTGTCTGCTATGTAAACCGATTTCTGCAAAAATATGCACTTTCAAACGCTATATAAAAAATGAATAATAAAAAGATTTGAAAATATTTTATGTATGTTTAGAACGGATTTTATAGAATTCTAAACGAAGTTGTACCCGAGATTATAAAATCTTCTTTGTGACAATATTATATTTTCGATTCGCTCCATTCTCTAGGTTGATGTTAATATCACAGTAGAACGGATGTTTTCAACTACACATCTCAATTGGAGCAGAATCCAAACTTGGAATCAGAGAATCTTTTGCAGCGTATATATTACAAACCAGGCGATGGTTGCAAAATTTCCGAAAGGTTGTGTAAGATTTCATTTATATAACATTTTGAACACAAGCAAATGTACAGAGAACTAGATGAATAGACGTTCGATTTGAAAACGAGCTGCAAATTGTCCCAGATTTTTTATTTATCCCCTTCCTTATTTCCTTACCCAAAGTTTAGTTATTGTACTCAGTTGTCGCAAATACCCTGCCATCTGCGCATTCCTAAGAGACTTTACTGAATGCGAGTGAGGACTGAGAAGTAAGATTGATTTAAACTGATGCAGCGATTCTAACACATGCTATCAATGCTGCACTCGCTGATTAGCTTCGTTTTAACTTGATATTAACTACGACACGGGCAAAATACGACCCGCGGGCCGAATCCGTCCCGTTGGGTAATTCAATCTGATCCGCCTGCCACAACCAAACTAAAACCCAATTTTGATTGTTTAGCTAAGAGATAAATCAAGGAACTTGCTGAGATTGCGAATAAATTTTTTTTTGCACGAGACTTATTGTTTTCCACTTTTGCTTTTGTAACACTGTAAATATTGTTCATAAAATGTAACCTTTTATGTCACACTTACATGGCCCGCCAGTGTAGGTGGGCAAAATTTTTGGCCTCTGGTTTAAAATCCTCTGTATTAACTTGATTGAGTAAATAAATCTGAATTGAGATCGAGTTCATGCATACATAGTAATTATCTTCAAAGAGTTATAGGCTACCTTACCCTAAATACAGCTAACCCAGAGATCTGCGAATTCTTGTCAGTATAAACGAGATTTGCAGATTCTTTACCATCCACGTCAATTGACCAAACTGCATTGTCTGTAGAATCAACCCAATACAACCTAAAATATACATAGATACATGTTCATCATCTTTTAAATAGGAGCAATTAAAGTTGGTACTGTTTCACATTTTCATATTTACGTTACCGAAATTCCATCAGTTTTGCAAATATGATCCATTTTTAATGCTATGATGATATATTTTTTATATATCGGAGTGTATCTCGATACATTAGTAATCGATTTCTTTATCACAATAATTTATTTTAATAATATACATACCTATCTGTTTCGTAATCAATTGATAATGCTGTTTGTCGACCGAACGAAGTGTGAATTAGTTTTGGATCCGATCCTGACATCGTAGATCTCATTATTACACCTGAATTTGCATCTTGTTGGTTTGCTTGACTCCAAAATAGATACCTGGATTCGCCAAACATTGTTTTGATAAAATGATGTTGGGTGACGAAATACAATAAAAAAACAAGTAATCTCAAAAATAAGCTGGAATGGACTTTGATGAAACTGTAGCCATGATGATTTGCTAACGAAGCTCTCTATGTGATCTCCGTCTTCCAATGCTATAGTGAAACCAGGGCTGGGAAGCCGGAGCCTGGAGTCACGCACCCATGGCGTTGTGTTGGAGCTAGAGCCAAGCTTACGATATTTGATGGAGATGGAGCAGGAGTTATCAGAAATTTTAGCGGCTCCCGCTCTTAGCCATATAATTATTTATCCACATATATAATTTGCTTTTATTCCAATTTTTAAGTTTAAAGCTTTAAGGTAAATTTTTCAGCGATCACACCGAAAAAAAAAAACGGTACTGGTACTGGAACCGGAGTACAGCTCGGAGGTAAAAATTGGATCTCCGGAGCCGGAGAGGCAGCAATATTTTGAATTTACTGTGGCTTCGGAACCGGGTACATTGTGCTTTAAAGTTTAAACCAGTTTCCTAACATTGAGTATAAACATTCAATAATTAGATATATTTATTTGAAAATACAATACAAAATTTGATGTACGCCCATGCCATCAAATACAGCTCAATTTCGATCGAAGTAGTCTAATAATCAAAACCAATACTATGTCAATAATTACCCCTTCATGGGATGAATCGCAATTCCTCTTGGATTAACAACGTTTGTAACAATAGGCGTCATTATGACCAGGTTAAATTTGGCCGCCACTATCCAACGCAATTCTTCATCTGTCCAGTAAATATTTCCACTTGACCAGTCCACGGCAACTCCTCCAACTATAAGATGAAAAAAGATGTTACAAACTTCATAAAACTGATATTTCACCAACAGACTATCTAACGTGATTTTAACCTTTGCGCGATACTCCTCCATGGTGTCGTACAATACTTTTTCGTTGTAAACTGAACGTTACAATGTTACCCCTCCCGATATCAACTGCTGTGACTTCTTGTGTTGCATCATTGCTGATAACAATATCGAAAAATTTGTTTAATAAGAGGAATAATAACTTAAAGTACAGAAGTATTTAATATTACTTAACGTAGCCTACTTTGCCAAAGCAGCCAAGTAATGTGGATATCGAAGTGAAGCTATTTTGCTGGTTAGTACACGCCCCAATGATTTTTGCTGATTTTCAGGGAGAGCTGGACAGGTATAAACTCCTGTTGATCTTTGTTTTGCGTTTGCTGATGTCCATACCAAATAAGGAACGTTGGCGATTTTTTGTGCTGTAAGATAGAATACCAAATTACAAATGTCTGTTCGGCAATTTCAAGCACATCGTAACATTCTTGGTTAAAAATTTAGGCATTTGGTCTACAAGTCGGTTGAAGTTAAGTGTTATTCCACAAGCCCAAAATATAACAAATAATTGGAGCAAAATAATGTTAGAATATAAGCGCTTCCAGCTCAATTGTTTTAAAAATATGTTTTGAAACAAATTGAATCAAAATATCGGACCAACTATTTGTTCCTTTCGTCAAATACATCACGTTACAAGCAATTAATACAAAATCGAGCGATCCAAACATCATATCGAAATTATGCGATAATCTGCACCTTTGGGATTAAATTCAGATTAACTTTTCAATAAATCTACTTACCCAGTAAAATATCGATTGTCGACAACGTGCATAAGAGTGCGGTCAACCAAGACTGACGTAGCATGCTATCCTAGTAAAAGTCTCGTAAAAATATTGTACAGTAACAAAGCTAATTGCTTTAGATTATTATAAGAAATTCATATGTCATAATCTAAACTTTGAATCAAATTTATAGTTCATACAAGTATCTTGTATTAATTCATATCTTCTCTATAATGGTCAAACTGTACAAATTGTGATTCCTATTACAAGCTATTTATTTGAAACGATACAGTTTATATTATAGTCTTCCATTCGCCAAAAGCTGCCTTCTATGGTCCTTACGAAATGTATTTGAGTAAATCTTCATATTCGGTGGTGAAAGTACTCGTCATGCTCATAATAGTCTACTACCATGTTTGCTAGTTCCCAACTCATTCTCCAATACTTGCCCGCTGACAGTTCCTCATATGAATACAAATTATCTTGCCTACTACCTATGAACATACTCAACTTCACGTTACTGTTTCAACTGAGAAATGTTGACGTAAGGTTATCACGCGCTACATAAAAAAACATACAAGTGCTCCACTTGCTCAAGAAGTATATGATGACGACAGCCCATTCAGTTCCATTTGGTCACTGACAGATATACTCCCCCAGTTAGTAACACTCACTCTGTGTGTTTTGCCGAATCTGAAGCCTGTTGTAAGTTATTTGTTGTAATTGGCACTACCTTTTTCAAACTACAAATAAGTTGCTTATCATAACATAACATAATTCCATCTGTCGTGTAGAAATTATCGTGATTTCTTGCAATACAGACCAGCGGGAGCATATTGTAAATTCCAGGATTAGATTAATCGCTGAAATTATTGCAATTTAATCCTCATGACATTTGGCACAACAGCGACAGTAGTGGCATGCGCGCAAGTTTCCAAATAAGTGGTAATACTTTCTCAGGTGGAATATCTCCTAAGACGTTTCCGCTTAATCTTTCCGGTTGTATTACCGAACCAAGAGAAGTACCACTGCCACTAAAGATTCACCTATACCTCATTTATTATGGGGTAATATTTATTATATTACGTATCGTTTAGCTTTCTCCCGATTAGTTTCAATATACCGTAGTAATTTAGATCATATCGCAATAGACATTCTGCTTACCAGAGTTGCAAATGGGTTCAATATTTTCGGTACAACACGGCGTGCCGGGAATTTGAAAATTATTGTTTTTGAAGGGTTCGTAATTTTCAAATCAATGTCGGATTTGGGACTGATTCTTTCAAGATTTAACCCTAGCACTAATACAAAGGTCGACTCCGTTCTGTCTCATATTCGAGCATAACATGTTGTGACATTATCCTACTCAGATAGCATAAAATAATAGTGTATATTGGGCCACGTGATTTTCCACTCCGTGTTAGAACTATTTTAATTGAAAATGCTCGTATAGTTCGAAGAAATCCAATCTATTGTCCAGAACATCTGCCATCGTTAAATATGTAAAAATATGTATCATGAATGAGTGTAGAAATATACTGTAAAGTTCCAATATAGATAGCGGAACAGGATTTAGGGTTATAATCAACCAGGCTTGTCCATGCTGGCAATTGAAATATTCCATTATATGATCCCTTTATTTGGGCACGAAATGTGAATATGGAACATTTTGTTAGTAACTACTGGACCAATTGCTCTGAAATTTTGCAGTGGAAATTATTTTTCGCTAGAAGACTATAATTTTATTTATTTCAAAAATTTCTGTGGGTTTTCTGACGTCATAAAAATTGCACCTCGTGGCAGTTCCGCTTTCGCGTTATTCGTGAAGATTGCCGTATCGCTAATCCACTGTGACAGATTGCTTACACGCACTACTTCGTTTTTACTTTCGTGACCATATATTTGAGCATCGTGCTCTTGTATTTTATATACTTGTATCTATTATTATTTATTTTGTGGTGGGACACCGGATAAAAAATACATATATCTGTTTTTTGTATATATCAGATTACGTTTTGTGCGTCAACAAAGTTAACATTATGTCTTTACCGTTTGTTGGTAATTTTATGAATTATGAAAAAGCGACGCGGATTTTCGAAATAGTGTTGTCATAATCTATTTCCTGCTTTATTTTTTCGTGATTGAACGTCGTAGTTGATATTCGATATTGTAAAATCAATTTAGGCTGAAATTTGCGACTGCGTGCATGCAACAATTAATGCAAGTGCATGGTGCTATGAGAGGGTAAGTCTAAAAAAATGCGAGTTTTTCTCAATTTGACGAGCGTTAACACTGCCAGACTGGTACTTTGCGCATCTTCGCTGCATTTAGTTACCTTTGTTATTATTGTAAGCAACGTTATTAGTATAACTATCAATTAGTGGAGTGGATGTTTAGCATGTAACATGGTCATAAAACATGAAAATTAAGGAAATGGTTCAGGAATTACCCGGATTAACGGAATTATTATAAACAGTCGATGATCAGGAAATTGATATTTGCTGAATGAGCAGAGTGACTGAGAAATAGAATAAGAGTGCCAGAATGATACTGAATTGGACATGGATTAAGTGGGTCGTTATGTTATTATGTTGTTGTTGTTGTAAAAAACCGCCTTTCTCTTTAACTTCTGGACCAATTGCTTTAGAACTTTCAGTGGTCAAAAATTGTGCTTGTCGCCAGAAGGCTATTATTTTATTAGAATCTTTTATTTTCATTTTTATTTCTTTTATTTTAATTTTATTTATTTCAAAAATTCCGTTTTTCACTTCGTTTTCTAGACTGCGGTACCGGGACTGTAAAGGATTTCATATTTATAATACATTTGTGATTCGGATAATTTGGTATTCAGTTGAACTGAATGCATCAATAATCATCGTCGTGATCCGGGTACGATTGCCGATACCCTGATATATATAGATAAGGTATCTTATCTTAAGTTATCTCCTGTAAGTTACCATAGCTGTTCCACAGTTCCAGCTTCTTTCGGAATATGATTTAGGGGAATTGTTAGTAAAAAATCAATGCCGTCGTCATCGAGACTTGCGTATAATTATTTCGTGACTCTTCCCGTCATATTCATACTAGGTTTCCTAGCAGTTAGTACCGGTGTAAAATTTCATCTTACGCCATTTGATTGATTTTTTGTTCCACAGACGTTGGAAATATGTCTAGGGTTATGCCAAGAAATTACAAAAGAAATACTTCTAGAGGTTGACATAAAGAAGACATGGAAGTTTGTTCATTTGTCATTGATAAAAAAAATTGTTGTTTTTCTGAAGCTGTTTACATTCTTTTGAAAATTGTCATGTATTGTCCTTCATGTGATAAGACGATCATACTATTTAATATGCTAGAAAAATGTTTTGTTTAAATTGTTAATCCTAAGACATCTAGGCGTTGATGGAAACATTATGAGACACAACAAGGTTTATTTTGTTGTAGCCTATGCCCATCCCGTCCACAAAATGTTTAACTTACCACAATATTTTTCAGTTGAAAATCGCGCGTAATTTCCGATTCATTTCCATAGCAACACTGTGCAAATATGACAAGATAACTGAGGGGTGGGTGCAGCGCCGGATTACCCATTAAACAATATAAGTACGTGCTTAGGGCACCAAGCAGAGAAGGGCACCACATAAATTTTAGAGCAAAATTTTATATAGTTTATCGGTGTTTATTAAAATATTACGAGTTCACCAGACGACTCAAACTTCAAAATGTTCGATTATTTTTTGTCGTCAAGTATCATATTAACCTTCTTTATTAAAAATAAACACAGAAATTTTTTTTAGACACGAAATGGGCCTATGAGTCGTTTTCTTAAATTATTGTTGTTTTTTCTTCCTAGTTTTCTCCTTGTTGCTGCATTTTTGTTCTGAAAAAATTCATTTTCTCTTCAACAATTGGACCAATGAACTATTTACACTCTGTGGCAGTTCCACGATCGCATTTCAACGATTTAGTGGTCAGCGAAGTCGGGAGTTTTTTGATAAGGTAGGCCAGGGTGGTCCAAACCCTGTCATGCTGATACATTCCGTGCGCTCACAGAACAATTTTAGCGTATTTTTGTATCTAATGGAGGAACGCTTATGAGTTTTTTTTTAGCTATTCCAACTGGGGTTTGGATCCCGAGATTCAAATCCCTTTTCTAACGCTTTGTGCCTTTATTTTAGTAAAAACACTCCTCTGTTTTCAAGCGTCGGCCATGTGCCAGTGACAGTGACGAAACGCAGAGCCGACTTAATTCCGCGCAATCCAGTTATTTTTAGCTAGGTCCCGAAATACCAACCTAGACGGACTTGGTTGGTATTTGACGATGGCACTAAGCTTGCTCACGCTGCAAGTTTTTAAATTACTCAACATAACAATTCGTGATAAAATGATTGTCGCAGGAAAGATGACATAAGGAAAACAAGGCGGAAACGTATTTCCTTGCCCATCACACAGTGTCTGGTTTGATTTCAAGTAATATCTGTCACTAAAGAATATAATTTGAAGCGACATTAAACGCGAGATGCGCAAAATACAACGGTAATTCTCGGGAATTAACTTTAAAACAACTGAAGGCTTTATATATCTTCTTTAGAAGAACGCCACACATGCAACATAATAATAGTCTGATTAGAACGGTAAACTCTCGTTGTTTATTAAATTTAAAGTAAGTAAACTCGCGATATTTCGATCACTTTTGGGGTTTCTCCGACTTGCGGCCCGCGAGACCTCGTCAAAAGTTTTTGCGGTACCGGTAAAATTATTTCAAACTACTGTTATGACTTGTATCCTTTGGTATTTCGATTCACGAATACATAATTTGTCAAGGCGTTCGACTTCCCCCGACCTACTACGTATAATAGAAATCGAATGACTAAATAGAACAAGAACGAAATGTATAAAAGAAGAAAATATTGGATATATGAGAATGTTTATTTTTCTGGTGTATGCAAAACAGTTTTGATATTTTATCATACGTGGTTGGAGTAAAAAGGGAATTTTAGTTATTATTTATAATTTTACGAAACCAGATGGCAGATTTGCCAGCATACATATCTTACTATTTTTTCGAAAATTATTCGGAAAATATAAAATAAAATTATACAATACCGGCGTAATACGCGTCGTCGACTCGCGAAATTACTGTGACCAAGAAAAACGCCGCAAATCTTATATTCGATAGTTTTACCCGCGGACATAAGTAAGTTTTACCAAAGCACGACGCGTGTGAAGTTCTTTTAAAGGTAACAATATCTACCCAAGGCAGTAGTATTTCAGTAAAACAAACAAGCTAGCTAGCTACATGTAGGAAAACATCAGCAGCTAATGGTAGATCAGCATTAGTGACAGAAGAACTTAACTAAAACACAATTAACTTTGGCTAAATCGTGTCATAAAAAGTGGAGTCCACAGCTATTGTTTTTATCTCGGTATTTTTACTGAAATACCTCGACGAGATAGTCATGTTACGCATGAAATATTTTAAAACGCGTTATCTCCATTCCTTACAAGTTAATTCAAGCAGAACCGTTCGTCATATCGAAGTCGCATAGCAACGTGGGGAAACGATACGATGTGTTAGAACGACGTTCTACACTCTGCAGGTTAAATTATGAATACATACATATTTTATGATTTTAGGTTCTGCGTGTCAGCTACATACTAAATAATGCACACTTAACAGTATACAAGAATGTTAAAAGTACAGGGAGTGTGTCATTGTTAGTGTTTTGGTAGAAATATCACCGTAAATTTCAGAATTCGCAGGAATGGAAGTAATCTGGTAATGCAGTAATGATTCGCAGTGAAAGTTGGTTACCCGAGCCTCAGTCTATTATGCGTCTATTAGCCTACAACCATTGAATACCGTCGCTTATGTCTTTATTTTTTTTTTCAAATACTGAAATAACATTGATTATTGCATCTTAAATTACTCAACCACTCTGATACAAAGTCTATGAGCTTTAAATTTTTTATTTCATTTTCTAAATTCAACCTTTGAATTAAACAGTGAGATTGGTACCCTTAGAATGGCGGTGGATAATATTCAAACGCTTATAGAGCTTGTAATTTGCAATATTTAAGTTCGTTGTTAAAAAATCACTTTGAAAACGATTTCTTCCAAGATTGTAACACTGATTGACCTAAACCACTTAGGATGGGAGAAGGACGGCAAATAGTAAACACACTTTGACGTTGACCAACCAAACTTAAGCCAAATTTATATACAATTAATTTGAAGACAGCAGCCGAAGCTAAAAATTCTCAGCAATAATCGTTGAAACAATGTTTTTATATTATTTGTCTATAGTTTATTCTAGTTACGTCATGTATGCTTGATAAATGATGTCAGCGTCAGTTCAGCTAAATACCGCGGACGATCGTCATGTTGGAAAGACGATGCCGACGATTAAGCCTAACGTGCTGTATAGCACTGCTAAATTACGTATTGACAGAAGTACCATTGAGGACTCGGAAAATTCAAAATATGGATCCACAAAGGACATAATGAGAGCACTAAGTATGGATGATAGTAAATGTACTAATAACGATTTGCAAATCTACAGGCCCATAAAATCGAATTCTCGAACGAGCAAGCGTAGTGTTATTTTGCACCCACCATCTCCTTGCGCTGGTGTGTCAGACGAGTGCATTGCAATGGTCAGAGCATGCAGTCATGATCATGATTATTCCGGTCAATCACTGGAAGTGCTATCTCCTCGATCTATGAATGATGGTAAAGACGTTTTTAAGCGGCAAAGTATTTCACCTGGTGTAATAATTAAGCGCGAACCGGATGAAGTTATAGACGTTTCGTCTCTGGGAGCTTCCAAAGAAATAAATAGAACACCTAGGCCTGCAAGATATAGACCGGGCAGGATTGTGTTGGTTCGAAAAGGGTCGATTGACTTAAAAAGTGTTGCTGGCGCTCAGAAGGATCTATCTTCCGCGGCTGTGGAGAAACGGTCAACAGAGAACGTAGTTTTTCAGGCGGATACCAGAATCTTAGGAAGATGCGAAGAACCAAAAGAGCGGCAATCAGAACGAGATTCAAGTTTCACTCTACGAATCGGCAATGAGTCTAAGATTTTTAAAGATTGTAACAATGATTTCGATGGAGACATAACGTCTCCGAGACCAAGTATAACCCCTTTTCCACCTGCCGAGAAACGTCGATCAAGGCGGAGTTCTTCGACTTTCGTAAAAAAAGTAGACCTTGTCAATGAAGACGCGGTAAAATTGGACAAAGAAATCAAAAAGGAGCCCGATGACAAGGATAGTGAAAATTGTAATGTCAGTATAGATTCCGCTTACTCATCTCTAAATTTTTCTTCCGCGTCTAAACCACGGACTCCTTCTGGAAATCGACCGGCTTCTGGAGGTAAAAGAAGCGCCACTTGTGGGCTTACGTCGTCATCGTCATCTGGGGCGTCTTCCGATGAATGGAGTGACCTTGAATCTCCAAGAAACCCGCAATCAAATTCAACCACATTATTAACAGATCCCGACAATGCTGCTACAGAAAAAGTCGATTCAGATATTGAAAACGAATCAATCACCGTCGGAGTTGTTCCTGACGATAAATCGAGGTATGCTTCAACATGATCCGTAGACAATATTATGTATGTGCCAATTACAAGGTTGATAGATAGACAAAATTGAATGGAATTATTTGATTAGAGGCCATCTTGTACAAGGCAACCGCAAAAATCAGAACTCAGATCGTTTGGAACATATTCCGGGAAAACATAACTTTTGAGCAAAGCGTTCTAGATCACTGAAACTTTTCGGTGCAATCATACACAGAAGTTCAAGTGCTGAAGTGTTAAAAAAATTTTCCTCATTTTCGTATGGCAAATTTATGGGTTCTATTTTTTGGGGTTACCCTAACGACGACGACATGCATAAGATGTTTTTCTCCAATCCTTGTAAACTATATACTTATTTCTTTGATTAGGATCTTGGCCATATTTTTACCTTTTAATTCAATTTACTTTATATCAGGGGGAAAAGTCCTCGTCCTTCCATAACGGCGTCTCGACATCATCGAAAAATAACGTCCGGCAAAAAACTGAAAAAGCATTCCGCGCAACATAATACGACAGAAGCAACCACAACGAATCCTAATACTTATCAACAGAAATCACAAGAAAAGATACAATTTGTACCGACTCCACCGACAAGAAAGCCCAAGAAAGGTGACAACGCATTTATAAGTTGGTGTTGTTTGCAAACGAATTGTTAGTGAATGTTTCTGCATTTACGTGGCTCGATTTGCGTTTGTTTGTTTAAGTTCTTCAAAATGGTAGAAATAAAGACAGCAAAATTGTTTGGAATTTTATACCTCATCCTTTATTCATCGATTAATATATCTGTAGCGCGAGGCGCACTGTATTTCCTTAAATTCATAAAAATGACAAACAATTAAACAATATAAACGGGATAGGGTAAAATATATTATTTTTCTTATCTGACTAAAACTCGTAACTCGTAGTTATAGAAAGTTAGAAACACATCAGATATTTCATTTGGATAATTTTTCATAGGTTTAGAATTACAAATTTTTTGCATTGCAATATAGGAATATGTGCTTTTTGAAGCTTATGTCTGCCCTGGCTGAGCTCTTGATAATTATCGTAGAGGAAGTGATAGGAAGGAGAGAGTATTTGCCTACTATATTAGTTTTCAATTTTAACGACTGCGACATCCCTTTTCTCTACTACCAGTAGTGCACGTGCTTCAGCGCAGCATAATAAAAGTTGTGTTGTGGCAACGTTTTCTTTGTTATGGATTTAGATTATGTCTCGGTAAACTCTGTTTTCGTATTATATAATACAATGTAATACCTTCCATGATCCACAGGTAATTCACGCTTACAAATTCCATAAATTAATCTGGAATTCGTTAATACATATTTTTCATGTCCCGAAAACTTACACTATTTTTTATAGTCGGTCAACTTTGAAAAGAGATTTAAATTAAAGTTTTCATTCAATGAATACTTTGTAATCTTTGGCACAGGCCTGATTGAGTTTATTCTGATATTTTCTTGTTTATTCTTTGAATGACTTTCATTTCCTTTGTTTGCATTGTTATAATATTGTAATCGCAGAACAGTCCTTGAGACGTCATAAATATTAAATTAATATTTTTCTAGTTCAAATAAAGCAAAAAGAAGGCCGATTAGTAAGCATTTTTGCCAATGATTTACAATGACATTGGGAAATAATGGTGAATAAAGGTTATAATAATCAAGACATCAAGCTTTACATTACAAAATAATTGTTTTGTATATAGCTTTTTCATAAAACAAAAATGTTGAAGAATTTGAGTTTCGCGTCCCACCTAGTTGAATATTTGTAAACAATAGTTAGATACTTTTCGGATTTGGTATTGTTAATATATGTTTGATAGAAGTAAAGCAATGCCTGCTTTGTTTAGGACTTCTAGGTTCTGGGTATTCAATTTATCAACGATAAGAAGATGATCATACCAAGAATAACCAGTTGCCTCGCTCTCTTTCATACGTTTTTATTGAAGTAAATTAGAAATCAGTTGGTGTAACGCGAGACCAACTATACCTATCCTTAATATAAATAAAGAAGGCTTTTCTATGAGATTTAATTGTTTTTTTTTCCTGTCATGGTTGAACCATGTTTGCCTGACAAAGTCCGAGCTATAGATCTGACGAAATTTAACACAAATACATTTGTGTTAGTGTTCAACAAAACTTCCGATACACATTGCAAAGTTAAATTAGTTTCCAATGCACGAATAAATAAAAGTTTTACTTTTTTAGGAAAATATTACCGATCGGTGCCAATGCGATTACGAGCTTTGCCTACTTCGTTCTGGGAGGAACCAAATAGAACAAACCCTTCATCTTATACTATTCTACCTCCAGTACAACCTTTGTTCCATCAACATGAAAATGAGGATATTGCAGGTAAAGCATTTGAAATTTTATTTGTGAGATTTCCATTACCGTCCTCATTCCGAACAGAGCTTTAGGCAAGCAATCAAATTGAACTGTCTAGCTAATATAACCAAACATACTGGATTCTTGGTGGCATACTCTGTACTTTTTGATTGCTCACCAAACTAACAGACCTTGCAAATATCTAACTACAATCAGTCAGTAGTTTATTTTTACACATGCCGAAAATACACATTGTACATACAGAATAAGAAAAGATAAAAAAAATGCATTTCAGTGTGAAGGCAGAGCTATCTATGACAGATATTGTATTAAGCATTGAATTAATTGAAACCGTTATAAGCACATTCCTAAAGGCCTATATATTTAGTTCAATTTCAATACGGACCATTTATACATCCCTAACTTTATGATTGATATGTAGTGAATAGTGATTGATTTTTATGTCATTCCTTAGTAAACTAGATTTTCCCAACATTTAGTTTACAACGATCAAATCATTATTAAGTTAGTGCTTTAAAAGGTAAAGCGTACAATTTGAAAATACTAGCCACCGGGTATTGTAATCTTTTATAATGTATATCATTTTAATAATGTCTGCCAGTATCCTAAAAATATTTTTGCCAGCGTAGTTTTGCATGACTACCGCCGCACCTCAATTGTAAATTTAGGTAATGTTATAAGCTCCTACGATGGTTTGAAATGTCATTTGACCTGAAACGACTTATTTTAGATAAAGTTCAATTTTTGTGTTCGACCTCATACTCGAATGATTTTATACTATCGAAATAGATATATACTACTACTCAAGCATACATTAAAATGCTTTACGTAAGAAATTACATTTGGCTTGATGTATTATATATATATATACGACCTTGGTCAAAAATCGAAATTAATTATTACGTATATGGTTGTTTCAATAGGGTAGGCATCGCTCCGTATGTTTGTCTCTGTACATATTACATTGCAACATGCTAAGTTCGGCATACATCGAAATTACTACGTTTTGGGGTATTATTCGGACATATATGTCATTATGACGCTTAATAAGCATTTACAATAATGTGTGTTCATATCAGCTACCCACACAAGGTAAAGAAACTTGTATTTTGGTTATGATTGAGGTATTAGTGACTTACTCCAAGTTTGCTTCTAAAATAAATGGACCTGGCCCAAAATCTTCGTTTTTCAAGCAATTATCTGAGGTGAGATTTAGTCTGTTCTAATTTTATCACCAAACAACAAATAAATTTAAAAGCTATCAAAAATTCACTTTTGAATCTATCACCCAAAAATTACTTGAAATACGTTCGAAGCGATTTTTACAATTTGGAATGTATAACGATGGTATTTGCATACCGCCCTTTATTTTATGTTCGTTAAATATTTTAATTAATTGTTTTAGTTTTTCCGATTCCATTTTTGGCACCTTTATAATAATTCAGGATAATTCGAAACGATTTTACAATATATAAAATAAAACGACTTTACTACGCAGACGACCTAACGCTATTTTTAACTGGTGAATATTTCAGCTCCACGCTTTGATGGTTTGACGTCATTCTTATCCTTGAATTACGAAATAAAATAAATCAAGACAACTCTAATTTGTTTAAAATTTTTCCATTGATGTAGCAGTTCGCTAGGCGGGATCAAAGATGTCGAGAAACCCTGGCTGCCTTACCATTTCCAAATCATGATTAATAATTTTATGACAGTTGTTTATTTAAAACGTGTCTGGTAGCCGTAGCATGGAAATGGAATTAGGTCTTATGGAAATAAGTAGTTGCTTTTGCGCGTCAAAAAGAGATATTATATTTCTAAGTGGGGCATTGTCTTGATTTCTATTTTAAACAAACCTATAGCGCAGCGGTTTCCAAACTTTTTGTTCGTGCGGCGCCAAATTATCAGGGGAAAAAACTCACGGCACACTGATACGAAAAAATGTAGCTTTTTAATAAAATCCAATTTAGGGATCGTTATTGTGTACTTTGAAAATTCAATTCTTCGACCTCATCTCTGCCTGGTTTTACTTTGAAATGCTGAAATAAATCACTCATGTTCTCTAAACTACGTTAGGCGATAATTTTTTTCCAATTTTCCTTATTTTAGTCCTATTATCAGTTCGAAGACTAGCCAAGAGCTCCCGTAGTATTTATACCTAAAATTATGGCCTAACCCTAACCTAGTACACATATTACATTCCGATGTCCGCCATCTTGGTTTGCATACTTCGGGAGCCCCTTATTGATTCCTATACACAGCATTTAAAATAAGAAACAATAAAACATTTATAAAAAATACAATATCTAAAATATGCAATCATATTTTAGTATGTTTAACACAATTCTGTTAATTTTCGCGTCGCACCCTTTGAGAACCGCTGGTACAACGTATGTATGGGATTTTCACAGCTTTGCCCCGATCAATATAGAAAGGTGGTATGTTTAATAAAGTCAAAATATAATAATCTCGGCTTGCCATTAGTCTTCTATTGTTCGATAACGTGGTTCCAACGTGGTTTAGCCCCAACTCACGACTCCCATGATTTAGGGTAATTGGGTTATAATACTTATAATACCTATGCTTGGATTAATATCTCAAATCAATGCGATTATTCAGGTAATAGAGTAAATAATTTTGACTGATAATTGTGGATAAAATCGAGAATAAAAACCATGAATGATATTGTTTTTTACAGCAGTTTGTTTTTTCGAAAAATCATCGAGTCTGAAATAAGGAAATAAATGATATATATTGCAAACGTAGCAAGCATCTGTTTGGAATACTGCAATAAGTATTGCAATTTTACGTACAAATATTCCCGAATAAATTTGACAAATTTGAGTTAATATTTCAAACTCTTTGTGCTAGAACACAATTAAAAGAAAACTAATTTTTAAAAACTAAATGTGAAAAGCAATTTTTAATCTGAACTTCTGAAATGAGCATAAAACCCATCCCTCGTTAAAAACCTTTTGACTCCAACTACAGCTCACATCTTCGAGATAACGAAATTTTCAGTATGAAAACGTTGCGTTTGGTAAGGCTCATTCTGTTCTCATTCGCCAAAAGCAACACTGAAATCACAGCCTTGCTGACACAACTGAACAATACTGAACGCTCGTACGCTGAGCTCGAAAATTTCTTCTATTTTGGAAGTTGTTTGAAGATGTTTTTCATTTCCTCTCGAATAATTATTAATGCGAACTAGGTAATTCATTTTTAACCTTACAAATTGAATTACTGGCAAAAGGTCATAGTTGTAATTTACGTTGCATCACTACGAACAAATAGTTTTTTACATGCCTTTATTCTGTAATTTTGTCAGGGCCAATAAAATCACTGCTTTTTGATAGTAAATCAGATAATACATGGTATTTCGCACCAAATTAACCAGGATTTTATGGAAGAAATATTTCTTGTTCGGTATTCGGTAAATTGCGAGTAAATTTATTTCCCCTCTGTTGTAGTCAATCAAGTTAATTTAGTCGAATAAATGTTTTAGCATTTCTACAGGTTTTGTCTAAATACCCTCGGGACATCTTCATACTTGAAATCAATCTAGTAGTGGAAGTGGAATTTAGTACTTTTAACGCCACATAAAAACAATGACATAATAATATGAAATGGGTTGTATCAAATTACCGACAAAATATTTCATATTCGTTATGGAATGCTGCTGTCTGGTAGAAGCGGAAACATAGAAAGCTTTGTTTCAATAAATGTGCTTATTGTGCCATACTGTTTTGGAACGAGCAAAGCTACCACTCCGTATAGTGGTTCCTCAGTAGTACGTTTTTATCAGCGGAAAGTGTATAATTTGCACATATTTATAGTCACTAATTTTCATTATTACAAATTCTCTATTTGATCATGCACCGTTCTTATGCTTGATCTATCCAAAGGGGTATATGTCGCATTTTTGTGTTTTAGGCCAGTAGGGTCTTGCGTATGCATCCTGTCTAAAACATTTATAATATCTATTTGTCATATCTAAATACTTTACCATTTTGTTCTATTCTTGAACGATTTACTGTCTCGCTATCATTAATCTTTTTTCTCCAAATGAAGCAGTCGAGATAGATGAAAATGTGCGCTTTTATACCCTGAATGATTTCGACAGCGAAGTAAGTCTGTGAAGAGATTCAGTGACTGCTTTTATCTGGCTGTGTTCGGAGCGAAAGGCAAAGCGTCGTATAACGTCAATACAAAAATCAATTTGCCCCCCCCCCAATTTTGCGCTGGGTAAGCTCTTGATTAGATAGATACTCTATTGATACTTTATTTACGGAGTCAACAGTTATTTTTTTCTCGAGAACCTATAATTTTCCTCGAATGCGTAGTACTATTCTGAATGAATGATTATTCCTACCTCAATAGAATGTTAGCATGACAGCCGTATCATGCTGAAGTCCAGGTGTTAATATTATTGATACCATGATTATATATCCGACTAAATTTAACTTCTTATACCCAGATTCAAATTGTAACGGGACTTTCCCAACATCCTGCATTTTATATTATTTCATTGACAGATATCCGGCCAGTGACGCCTCCAAACGAAAAAGAAACTTCGGGATCAAGTCGTCAAACTATATCTGCTACTGGTTGCGATCGACCAAGAAATCGAACAATTATAAGAACGGGAGATACTGATTTATTGCTCAGATTATTTGATAAAGTTGAAGCAAAACAGCAAAATCAAACAGGGATAAGAGCGAAGCGTGGAAGGTGGGTGGTCGAACTTTTTGTTAATAGTGATGGCTATAAGAAGAGCTTGTAATTATAAAGGTTTCATAATAACATGTGTAGTAAAAATATTGTCACCGTTTTCTTTTAGGTAATTTAGCAGCAGCTACACTACTGCTTCGTGCTCTATGTCCCTGCAGTGTCAGTGAATCGATATGCACTGATTGCTAGGACGATTTAGAAAAAATCGGCTATAATCAGTTGTTTAAAGATTTTGCTTTACATTTTCACAAATTTTATTTTGTAATGCCTCGCTCGAACAAAATCAGGCATCCCCAGACAAGCAATTGCAAAAATTGAAAGATATAGATAACTTCTTGTCTGAGGGAGTCTTACTTTGGTCAGACGAAACGTTACAGAACAAAATTTGTGAAAGTTTGATGCAAGACCGTTGAACCACGAAATTACTATTTATGTCAAATTTCTCTAAATAGATATATTTAGATAATTTGATTAAATGTTGAGCATTCAGGAACTTTAGAATGTCTAATCTGTAATACCTGCACATGTGCTAACCAGAAATTCCTTGTGAACTACAGTTTGAAATAAAAATATGAGGTTGCTTTCCGAGCACTATACCCAAGACGGCTGCCTTTTTTGGAATGGTAGGGTGTATTTTCGTAACCTGAATTGTTGATGGTAAAACTTTGAAAAACAATTGTTTTAATATCTTCATTTATTTCAGACCGAAACGTCCATCATATTGTACAATGACCACTTCTAGGCGGAATCACAACGACAATCCTTGTATTATGAATTCAATAACAGAAAAACTATTTCCTAAACTATCTCTGGGTCACCGGCATCCTATCGCTGCCATGATGACTTCCTCAGCAATAGCAGCTTCGGCTGCGCTACCTTTACGATCTGTCTCTGACGCCACCACAGAGGAGCCAACACAGAGTCACGCCACAAAATTCAACGGATCTGGTCCTCAAGACTTTAACTCCGCTATGTTTTTAACGGAAGATGATTCACCAAGCTCTAGTTTAAACTTTGGGACCGAGGTTGCAATGGAAATGTCTTCATCGTCCCCATCGCCGACACTTCAACCGAAACCTTCGCCAATCCTTCCGCAACTGGTTATGCAAAAAGAATATTCTCATCTTTTAAATGAACTGGCTGCAGTTTTATAGCCAAGCCATTTTTGCAAAACTAAATAGTAAGTCTTGGTTATCTAACTGAAAAAATCTAACTCGTTATCGTCCTCTTTTTCGGGTTTCTAATTCTAGGGTGGAATCAACAACTCGTTTTAGAGTTTTATCTCCAACAACTGCACTCAGAGTGCTGTGGAAATGTATCTTCATAAATAGTACATTAATTAGCCTATTTCGGAAGTTTGATCGCAATTGGTGTAAAAATGGACTTTTTTGACTGAAATCTACACGCCGAAATCGTTGGTTAGTTGGTTCTTAATTAAATACCTTTGTTCAAGTTATTATTCACAATATATCGTTAGAATTGACTGCCTGCGTTTTAGTAACGTTTATAATAGTACAATTTCACGCCACCACCTCGAAGAAGATCTCTAAGACTCAAGAGGTAGAGAACTTTTAAATAATGCTAGGGATTTTTGAGTTCAAAGCAGCTCCGCCAATTGGTCATAGGGCTGGGCATTTCGAATCGAATAGTAAATTATTCGAATCGGTTTAGAGCAAAATTTCGAATCGTCGCCATCTTGTTTTTTTTCCGCCAATGTTCGAGGTAAATTTCTTATTTTTTCAAATTTTTTCAACGCAATTCTAACATACGACTCTTTTCTGTGGTGAGTTATTGATGAAAACGTGTTTTTATTGTATGTGAATGCTGAGCAATCAGTGAAATATTCTACGTTTTCAGTAATTTATGTGTCTGGAGAACCTAATACAATAAGAAAGTTACATACAATTTCATACCTTCCAAGTATTCGAGATTCGATTCGATTCGAAAAAAATATTCGATTCGATTCTGAAATCATCAGGTATTCGGAAATGCCCAGCCCTATATGGTCACATTCTAGCAAGTAGCAATAATTTTATTCTTTCTAAACACTTGATATTCTATCGTTTTCCTTTTGTCACATTGAACGTTAAATATTGAACCACCTACTCCTTATGTTTGACCGTTATCCTACAGCTGCAATACTAACACTGTTCACTTGACATACAGCAGGATATGTATAGCGCCATTATGGCTCGGTTTATCACGATTCATAAACATTAGCGTGAATATGTTGAACGTCACACAAAATTCAGTTTTCTCATTCCAAGACTTTTTTGAAAAGTCAACAGTATTATTGTGCCTAATTTTGCTTCCCCTTTTTCACCCTGCAAGTGTTTAATTCTACTTTATCTATTTTTTCATTCAATAAATGGAACTTGTATCGATTTATGGGCGACTGAAGTGCTATATTTCGATCATGTTATCTACTCACGATTATTTTGCTTTTCCCGGGGTGGTTGGTCAACTTATCGAAAGCATGAAAGTTTGCAACAAGGATTTAGTCCATGTATATATATATAAAGTAGTCGATCGTACGATTTATATTCAATATTCGGCGCTCCAGAAATGTGTGTACCAATATGGAGGTAACTAATTTTGTTCGCCCATTTTACATGAAATTGTGTAAAGGGACAGAAACCTATGAGCAGGGGGTACATTCACTTAGCTAACACACACAGTCCGCGAACTCATAATAGAACTAAAATAAGGAAAATCGGAGTAAAATTATGGCCTGACCCTAACCTGGTACACACACTACGGGAGTACCCAATATTCTACAATGGAGTGCGAAAAAAAAACATGACTTCTACCAGAAATTAAAAGCAATTAGAAAATACCCAGCTGCTTCACAAATCCTATTATGTAGAGGTGGACTATAGAGCCCCCAACAAATCAAGCTCTACCACAAGGCCACCATGTATATGTTATACGCGCGACAGATTGTCCGACGCGGTAACCACATAGTCATCACTAAGTAAGGTAGAGGTTCAGTGATTTGTGATTCGATGCATGTTACTTGACACAATGCAATATGTGTTTCTAATGATTTCCATTTCACAATAATAACCATAACTGGGTCTGCCTTTGCGACAATCTTTCCAATGCCATGGCTTTGCTATAGAGACGCAAACGTCCGGTCTGATATATAGTTTTTCTTATACGTTTATTAATGTAAAACCTATAGAATGAAAATTTGTCACACACACAAGGTTTTGCGAAGTTTTAATGAAAAATTGCAAAACAAAAACACAGTGTAAAAGCAAAACGATACAAGAACACAATAACTACTTTTTATAATACAGATAAACGTTAAGGTGCTTTTAAAACTCAACATATATATATAATGTGAGGCGTGAACAAATCTTGGTTTGTGTTAGGGAAAGCACAGAATCAGAACAACTAAAGATGATATATTTTTGAACAGATTTGATAATAACTATTTCATGTCATTTATTTTCTATTAATAAATTTGTCGTAGAAGGCATGTTGTAAGTAGAAATAATTGAAATAAAATAGACTCTGTATAAAAGGAGCAATACGGCATATCATGACGACGTAACAATAAAGACTACAAACATCAATTCACCTTGTTTCAATTTTGTCAGCGTCGACAAAATTTTACAGACTTCAAATTTTTGAACAAACTTTGGTAAAAAATTTCCTGGCGTGAACACAAGTTAAAATATATTATGTGCATTTAATATGATAGGCTTTAGAGTTTATATGGTTAAAATTATTTATTTTTTTGGTGGATTGGTATCAAGGAATAATAATATATCTTCGAAGAAGTCGTATTGATGAATGATAGGAAGACTAAAATAGGCAGTGGGCGCAGAATTTCCGTCATTATAATACATAAGAAAACTCAGTTAATATAAACAAAAGAATAAAAGAGATTGAAAAGATGTATAAATGTTGACAATTCTTCAAGGCGGAATCGTCTAGTTCATTTTTTATTTAGAACAATCATTGATTGCAAATCTTCGCTGAAACTTATCATAAAGAATGGGTTTGTGAGCAATTAAGTGAATTCATCATCTTTAAGACGTCGGGTGATAAATTCCGCATGCTTTTCCTTGGTAATGCTGTGGACAAACACATCTACCTTCATAATAGACTCCGTTGTTTACACATTTATTTGTGCCACATTTGATGCCTTTCTGTCGCTTTGCTGCAAAGGTAACAATATGATATAGGCACAAATAAAATATATGAAGCCAAAGTGGATCATCCGCTACATGTCGTCCAAGAGCACACTAGTTTTGGGTAGAATATTATTAGTTCACTCAAATGAGAATGACGGACGAGCGGGAAAGGGTAGATCAGTGCGATAAAGTTTACACTCAAGTTCAGTAATATAAAGGAGAATTTTAGGAGTTTAAGAGGAATTTTAAAAAATTTTCTGAGAATTGTTCAGATGGATTTGTTCAAGTTCAGAAGGATGTGGATCATCTCGCATCCTCCAAAATTGATATAAATGTGTTTCAGTTTCGTATGCATTGAGTTAGGGTTTTAATATTTTTTCCGGATAAAATAAAGTTTCACATATTAAATGATAAACCACTACTTCCCATACGCTAACCCAGGGGTCGGCAACCCCTGGCACGCGAGAGGATTTCTCGTGGCCACCAAGCTATTTGAGACATATTCAGATATTTATTTTCGTAGTGCATGCGACAAACATTCTGCAATTGAACAAAAAATGCCAAATCGACAAATTCATTGAAAAAACATGCAATATTTAACTGCAATCGACGAGGGGTCGAAATTTGTACCCAAAATCGGTGTAGATAAGCGTGTGCAGTCGATAATCCCCCTCTTTTCAAATTTTCGGAAAACTGAAAAAGTCGCAGATACCGCATGCGATTGTTTTTTGCTAAAATTCCTGATTGTTTTTATCAGCGTGACGTGTTATTTAGGCTGTGAACACTTTCAGTTGGTGTTTATTCTCCCTGAATCACAACAATTATTTCACGACAACGATAATAATTACTTTATTTTTGCCCAGCGCTGAGAGTTATTATACAATCAATCGAAACTAAATATAATTAGGCATGTTTATCTCATAAGTTTACATCAAAAGATTGAGTGGTATTTCAGACTAATCATGTTTATATTTCGACGCAAGAAGACGTAACCGCGAGTTACGTTGGACACAAAATTATAATAATATAGAAGAAAGTTTTAGATTCTCTGTCATGAAATGAATGTTTTAGTGGAAGTTGGTATACGCTGAAAAAACTCGGCCTTTTTTACGTGCGCGTAATCGCGGCGACTGTTTCAAAAGGGAATGGAAATTTTCGGTTTTTATATTGAAACACCCCCTTTCGAAAATCCTGACTGCGCGCCTGGATGATTTTCATCATTTCACCAATTGTACACCAATTTACATGTAGCCCTATAAAAAACGATGAAATAAAGGCGCTCGGTAGTATGTGCACCAAGATGGCGGACACCGGAACGTAGAATATGTACCAGGTTTGAGTTAGGACATAATTTTATTCCAATTTTCCTTATTTCAGCTCTATTACGAGTTTGGGGACTAGCCGATTGACTCCCGTAGTATTTGTACCTGAAATTATAGCCCAATCCTAACCTGGTACACACAATACGTTCCGGTGTCCGCCATCATGGTGCAAATACTACGGGAGTACCAAAATAAATTTTATCTTCTTTAGTATTTATCGCGATTTCATTGTTTCTGGCTACAAAACTAATCGCGAGTGGCCTTAATACCTCTTACTTAAGTCGTCCAAAGACAGGTCGGATGTAGAAATGTCGTATGCCGAAATCTCTCGCAAGCTAGTTTCCATGCACTTTATCCAATACAATAAATTTGTTTTTCATCCGCTTACTATTCAAATCAGGTAGTTGGCTATGGAAACCATACACATGAAAATGTTTGGCACGCGAAGGTGCTCATTATTCATAAACTGGCACGCCAAGTTCAAAAGGTTGCCGACCCCTGCGCTAACCAGTATAAAACCGATATAGACATGGAATACGAAAAATTAAAGTTTTCACCATTTGATAAACTTATTGGTCACAAATTAACCTACGATAAGTTTTGGTGAATTGTTGTTGAAGTTGTTAATAAAACTCGCACTCCTCCGCAACTAGTAACCCAGTCTATCTTAAAATTTCAACGCCTACGTTTATGAGTTTCAGAAATGAATACAACGTCCATCAGAAGAAATCATGTACTGGGAATTGCGGTTTATCACTCACTCGTGAAGTCATGTTATGGGAGGATATGTAACAACGTATTTACTATGGGAAATTTCCACACACGTACTGTCCATGACTTTCACAAAATTTGGACTCGAAAACGCTGACGCTGAATGTAGTTGTTTAAAACAATAGCATTCTAAAGCTTCATCCACTGTTATCACAATGTTTTTCATAACGACATTATTGTTTTCATATCTCAATGGTGAAAACTTTCCCTAACTTGACGTGCGGAATATTTTTGCGTTATTTTGAATTCTTTCCATTTCTTTCACATCTGAAAGGGAAAATTCCATTTCCGTGTATTTGAAGTTTTTGCATTAATGTTGCGAAATTGTTCGACCAAAAAGATACATTGTAAGCGTATATGATAGAAGTAAAAATCGCCTTGCTCATCAACTACTATACAAATAGATTTTGAAATTTGTAGCGGTTAAAGCTGTTTGTTGTCGCTAGGAGATTATTACTTTTATGCATTTTAAAATTACTCTGGGCTCTATGGGATTTTTTCTCACTTCGAAGTTATGTGTGATGACGTCGTCAAAACTAAAATTTGCGCAACATGCCGTGGTTCCGTGCTCACATCTCAGTGATTCGGTGGTTAGACTGTCGGTACTGTATAATATTTCGGGCTATTTCGTTTTGGCTCTCGTTTTCGTGTATTTATTTGACCATTGCTCTCTTGTTTCCGTAACAATGACCAATCATGTTCACGATGATGTAACTATTCACACGTTTTTTTCGCTCAGATGGGTTTTCAAAAATGAATATAATCATTGCCTCGCTTTCATTCTTTTGCCTGCCATTTGACAGTTTTTAGTTGCGTTTCCAAATATCAAATATTTGGTGTGCATGAAAAAATTAATGTTCATCATGTTTTCCGGGGAGTTTCTGTTTAGTTGTAGTAATCCAAAATTAGTCCCGAAAAAGCAGTTATAAATAAGGCTAAAATTAGTTATTAGCACATGAAACGACACATAGTTAAATGTTTATAATAAAAACGATAGCTTTGAACATGTAAAGCAGTTTGTAAGTGCCAACTTGCAAAAACACACACAACACAAAATGGCAAAGTATAGGGAAAATTCCAGCGGGGAAGTGGGCAAACAGGTATTTTGCTATCTGAGATCCGGATATTATTGCGACGGTTAACCGGATAAGAAAGTTAAAAAATAATACATGTTCTCCTTTGTGATTTTGATATTTGTGTATTAAGTGGCGGCTGACATCCACTAGGGTCTTAGAGCATATTATAACAAGTAATGTAAAGAATGAAAGAGGCTGTAAAGAATTCAATTGAAAATCTTTGAGAAGTTAGTTTGGGAATCTGGCGTATGGCGGTTTTGATGAGGACTATTCGATGTTTGTGCCATTTGGATTCGGGTATATCGTCGGGAAAATAAGGCAAATGGAGGTGTGTTTTGGACGTGGTTCAGGGCTGGGGGCTGGCGCGGGTGGGTAGTACATTTTTATTTTGCTTATTATACGGTGCATGATTTTCTTTGTGTTCATGATTTCATTCAAGTATATATATATGCTCATACAGTGTATGAATATATATTTACAATAAAAATGTTTAAATGCTTTTTAATCAATTCATCACAAAAATCTCGTGAAATCGATTCTCTAACAATTAGCAGTAATTATCCGGATCTAATATCTGAGGAATGTTTGCTCGTTGTACGCATAATATAATATGAATCCCCTACTTTGACTTCAAACAAATTAAATTGGAAATAAAATTGAATGGCAGTTAACTTTGATGTTTTGGTCGTTTGTGGCATATCTTTGGTGTTTAGTTTTTATCGTGGTGTATGATTACGTCACAAATAAAACTTATTTTCATTACGTATTTATCAATTTACCTCGCATGCGTAGAATTCTTTTACGTACTCGCTGACAAAATCTACCTCTATATCCTTGTTTGCATCTACAAGTTGTCAATCCTGGGATACATATGCCGCCATTTTTACATGGACACGATGACTCTGCACCTGCTGATTTACCTGGAAAACCAAATTTTCATTGAGAGTTTGTCAAGCATTGCAGACATAAATTTGTTTTTTAAAATTAGGGAAGATTTTCTGAGAAAATGGTATTGCTGCACAGAAATTTCCCGAAAAATGTGGCGACTCGGAAGTAAGCAATTTATTATAACATACAAAGATTTCTGCCCGTGTCAAGTATATTCGAAAATATGAGACGGTACAAGTATGAGACAGCAATATAGTTGACCAGTTACAAGCCTTTTAGTTATGATCGGTACTTGATCAAGGCGCGAAAATTTTTGTCGCAAAATAGGAAAAATATTGACCTTTTGCAACACATTTAGTGACGTTGAATGCGACTGCAAAATGACCTGAAGTAAACTTCAAAAAGAAAAGATTCACGCGTTGGATTGGATAATATATGGAAGGCTGGGTGGCGCCACTTTTTTGACCGAGAGTAACCTCAACCAACTTTCGCGATTTGTGATAAGCAGATGACTCAAGACTTGTACGATGTTTACCAAACGCGGTAAAAGCGGGGTTGGGTAGTTTTTAATTCCCAGGTTTACTTGAACCCGACAAACTTTGTTTCATAATCGTTCGCATGTCAATATCGCTTTATTGTGGTTTTTATTACGTTATTAGAATGGCCAAGCTGACCAAGTTGTTTGGCTGTAATATACCTGCAAATTAAAAAAAAACATGTTTTTTTCAGCTTAACTTATGAATAAACATTGTCACTCATTAGAGTTATATGATAATTCGTTTGGCGCTATGTGGTTATGGAGAATTGCCATACGAAGTTCAAATGTTCGTATGGCCAGGTGCATACAACCCGATTATTGCCAAAGAAAACTACCAATGGTATATATTATTTGAATCGTCGAGAACAGCCAAACTGTTACCCGTCGAATATATACTATATCCACTAGCAGTACTCTAGTTACGTTATAAACATCTCGACAAAACATGGAACTTCATAGTAACGCCGTTTTATGATTGTGCGACTATTACAGATTGTAGATAAGGACTCCTTACCTTTCCGTCTCGTTGATGTCTTTCTGGGAATTCTTTTTCTACAACATGCTACGCCGGTTGTTGTACCTTCAACGTACACACAGGAACGAAGACGTTTTCGCGAAAGCGTTTGTGACTGCGATTTGGGGTTCACATCTATCCTACCTCGCTGCATGCAAGAGTATCCATTTTCTTGAATATTTCCACAGCCAGCGCCAATGCCGGACATTCGATTGGCTATATTGTTTGGTCTACACCTGAATGTAAATGCATAAAGTATGGAATCATATCATAAGCATTGCATGGGAAGCTGTTGCATACACTACTATTATAAATGAACAAAACTGAGATATTAATCAAATAGATCACTGTAAAAATATGCAGTATTTCATCGTTACTCTGAAGGGTACAAGCGTGCTCACACATCAAATAAAACGACACTTCACTTTCCACATTAAGTATTACAATATCTTACGTGGTACAAGGATAGAACTTGGATGAAGCAGCATTGTATGCGTAACATCCCGTAATATTTGTCACTTCTTGCCAGTTTACATAATTCAGCGCATGCATATTTTTAACAGAGCATACTTTCCACCCTCGTGCACATATTTTGTTCGATGCCCGTTTCACATGTCCATTCCATTTGCCATCACAAACCGCGACATCGGAGCTGTAAAAAATAGATAGGACCTTGAGAATTGATTTATGACGAGTAAGTAGGGTAGGAAGAAAATGTCTACCCAATAAGTTGCAAGAAAGATTAGAGTTGCGAGAATTGTGCTGAGAACTTCATATGTTTAGCAATGCGAACTGCATTTTGTATAAAAGCTGTATCACAAAAATGGTTTCACGGAATAAACCAGACAGAAATTTCAACAAAGATTATCCCTAAAACAAATCACAGCCTGAAAGAACGGAAAAACGTAGTTTGGGTAAAGTACAGCTGAAAGCAGCCTGCCCTAGAGCTTGACCAGCACTTCTACAAAAAAAACAGCAAAAATGTGAAAATTAAATTTAAAAACACTCAAGTGTCATATACCATCTTCAAGATTTTCTTCATCCAAAGTATTTGATATTTATTGATTTTTGTTTAAATGAGCGTATTATTATTATATACGATATACAACACTGCATATTTGCCTGTTTGCTATATTATTTGCAACTATTTTGATGATTTTCTGTTACAAGAGTAGGGACTTAAAAAAGTCATGGGTGGCCAACAGCGCATGTCATGCGTGGGGTCATGTTTCTATTACCTTACAAGCATTCTCCCTCTGCTTCGATTCCGGCATGCTATTGCAGGCTTGTTGTTTTTCCGGAATTGTTCCACATTCAATCTAGTCCCATTCGACAGAGAAAATCCTAAACTGAAAAATATTGGTCAAGTTTCAAATGCGTTTCTATCATAGAATAATAGTTATATCCGATTGACCTTGCAATATGGATGAATTAAGTAATTATTGCCTATTCATCCATTTGCCTAACTTGGACCAAATCTATTGTCTTATTGGCTTTGCTCGCCATTACTCCTAATACAATAATGCAATGATTAGAAGCCGATGAATGAAATTTTGCAGAATTAACATTGAAAATGCAAATGAATGTGAATGGGAATCGATACATCCTACTTTCAATTATTGCAAAAACAAATTTCAATCTTCGATATAAAACGCGGTGACCTCGGTCGACATTGCAAAATCTTCCATTTGAAAAATTTATTTTCGAAGAAAAAAAAAAAGAAATAACCATGTTTCGTGAATATTATAGCAAAAGCTATAAATAAGATTCGTCCGATCAATGTTATCATCAATTGTAACAAAATATTTGTTTCCTAACTAAAATAACCCAAGTTGGCAGACAAAGTCATCAATTCCAAATATATAATAATGTATTGTATGTACACACGTAATCACAAATATATTTATTTACCTTATGTAATTGAATATACATATTTCAATTTGGGGGATTTATATTCAAAGCTATTCCCCGGAGTATAAGGAGTCGGAAATTATACTCCATAAGTCTGAGCCCCATTCGGATAATTTTGCCTAAATGTATAGACTTCAAATCACCTGTTTATAGCCAAACACTGCCAATATCCTTTGTCTTTAGTCGCGACTGAATTTATAGTCAAGCTTCCGATTGTACTATATTCTTCAATATGTTTATCAATCGATACAGGAGAACCGTTTTTAAACCACTTATAAGTAGGCTTTGGTTCCCCGGTCGCTTGGCAGTTCAAAGTCACGCTTGACCCTTCGAAAACGTTGATACTTTCTTCGGGTTGCACCACTATACTCGGTTCATTTTCTGAAAGTGGATGATTCGTAAAATCAAATTGAGCAGTTAGGTTAGTTTTTCTTATGACCAACCATGTAACAAGATGTTGTTATCTTTGATTAACGTTTGCACCATTTCAATATATTATTGTATAAGTGGTTTCAACCATGTTCGTTTAAACACAATGACGTAATTATTACACTCAGTAAACGACAGAATGATAAAAGCTATTCAATTGTTGAAGCGCTTTAGGAAACCATTTCCTAAACTATTCGTCGTTCTTCTACTTTCCCCCTGGTGTCTGAAGATTACATGGGAGTTAATTTGAGAGTCTACTGTTGACTTTTTCAACAACAAAATGATTAGTTCGATATATTTTTCTGACTAACAAAATTATACTCCTCAACGAAATGCGACTTTAGTTTGCTTGTTCACAATATATTACAAATAAAAATGCTTTGTAACTGCTGCATTTTTCATACCTACCACCTTCGAGTACCACGAGGTCAGTATGTTACAAAAGTATAATTCATCTTAATTAATCGAAGTAGAATCTAGAAGTCGACAAATTATAAATAAACATACGTGTGTTTTTTTGCTTTTCTTATACTGTTCATTGTTTATGCCCTTTCGAGACAAAAAAGCACTGACCTGCAATTTTATTTCGGCAACACAAGACTCCTGATATCCAGGGTGCATGATGACATGGTACATATTGTGGTATATGACTAACACTTGCATCTATTCTTCCACCACCGAAGCAAGACAATGAAGATTTGTTAAATCCAACACAATCTGCACCAATGGCTGCCATCTCAGCCTAGAGTAGAAAGGAACAAAATTGTGAATAAAGTACAGCTTTCGGTACTTTATTTTTAAGTATTAATTGGAGACAATGAAACTAGGACACATAACAAAAGGTGACAAAATGTACTCAAAAGTTAACAATGGAAGTTTTAAATTTATTGGATATTATTTTTTGATACAATTCTTACTTCTCGTGGTTTTCCTTCGCAATTAGAACAAGTACGATCATCATGAGCAGCATTGATGGCATAACATCCGCTTACGTGTGTCGCTTCGTACCAAGATATTTTGTGTAAGACCTCCACATCATCCCTGATAATTAATGTTATGTTTACAAATATATATAAATTTTGCCAGACGAAGCTTATACCGATATCGCAATACTCGGTGGTGTTTTTTACTTTCAATTAGTAGATTTTATTTGAATTACCGATCGATTTACTGGAATACTCTCCCACAATAACCCCTTTTGAAATTTTCAAATTGTATTGGTGTTTAACTATACCCATATAACAGTGTGTAAACCGATGCGGCGCAAACAGTGAAAAACCCATTTGGTTACAGGTTCCTTTTTTTTGCAGAAGTATTAATGCTACGTGGGCGTAGGCGGGTGTTGTTTAACAAATGTTTGAATTTCAATGCAGTTCAAGAAGGCGATTAAAGAAATAGGTTATTGATTTTGATGTCATTAGCTATTAAAATATACAAATGTGCTGGGGAATTTGGTAATACAAAATTTAAATACATAAATATTAGGTTTACAAGCAATTTACATCAAAATATTTGATCAGCTGGTTGTAGGTCGCATGTAATTTTAAATTCAGTTCATTTTCGTCTAGTGGCTAAATATAATACCAACATCAGTATAATATTACTTATGATAAAAAAGTTCTGAATTTAATTGAAAAAAATCAGTTGTGTCACTGCAATTCTACCAAACACCGTAATGTACAAATACAAAGGCGGCAGTGAACTATTCTTCCCATAGCAATATCTCACCATGTACAAAGATGCCACACACTTCGACAAATATTATTTGCAGATTTGATATTTCCTGTCCAACTACCAGCGCAGACAGCGACATCATCATGTCCTATCAGTTCGTGTTGCAGTCCCAGGCATGGTAGTCCTGCTAAAGAAAGGGGAAGATGTTGCGAATATGTTTACAATTTCAATATAGCATTAAATAAAAGGCGTTAGACTAATTTTATCTTAGCCCAAGCAATAGTAGAGCAATAATGGACCGATATTATATTTTACGACGATCCTATATCGCCAAAACTTGCCGATGTCGATATTCCGATACAGGAAAATCGGCAATGACTTTACACATACAGAAGATGGAATCTGAGCTATCCAGTTATCAAAAATTTTACCATTTGCTTTCAATATTGAAATGTGCCATATTTGATAATTGCATTATTGTTTGGAATAAGGGGAATAACGGCGGTCATCTCACGTTACCTCCGATTTTTTTTGTAGAAAGTCTCGGCCACTGCCAACGTGACGAGCGCAATCTGCAGTACTCAAAGAGTGGCAGGGGTGTTTTTCTCAAAATCTACATTTTTGCATTAGTGGCGAGGGCTTGCTAAAAAAGATCAGTTATCTCTACATTGCACAGAGATTGAGAAGATTTGAGTAATTTCCAAAATATTCTATTTTTCATCAACCTTTCTCGCAATAATAGTAGCCGTATGTTTTTCCTTTTGTGTTGCAGATTCAAATATCTTTGCCACGCTATGTATGATTTGATGACTTCACGCCATAAACAAGTATTGACGGGGTATATTTGCACACTTGGGTTAGGTCTCCGTATAACAGCTATAAATGGCGACAAATATATTTAATTACTGGGTAAAAATAAATACTAAACTGATGGGTAATTAATCATTTACATGAGTGTAGATTTGAATGAACGAACGGTAACAGCATTTTAACCTCTGATTGCCAGCACATAAAATATGAACACGAACATTTTCATTACAGGTAAATTGAGTTTATGCTGCTGGTTGTAGGTCAGAGATATAGGGATCTTTAGAATAATAATGCTTATGTAACAATAAGATAAAACATGGTTTTGTTAAGTGCTTAAGATCTTTGCTGGTTTTGTTACTTAAGCGAACCAATCGCTCAATAAATATTTACCTACTTTTAAAGCAGCGTTATGATCATAATTTGATCGAGCATAGTCCTTTAATAAATCGATCACTAAAGCTCAATTTTATCCCCATTGAAAAGCTAACGAGCTATTTGACATGCCAATCGGGTCACATCACTACCATAAAAAGCGCAGTGATATTGATTTAATTATGATTTAATTAAAATAAATTCACAAAATTTGGCACAGTTGGCTATTAAAATGACTATACGTACGGAATTACGCAACACATTTTCGTTGCCGTACATATCACCCAAAAGCGATCAAATTAAGGTTAAACTGACACTTCGACGTCGTTTTTTCGCAATGTGTAATTGTAAAATGAGAATTTTCAGTACCGGTTACGTTTAGGAGGGCGTGATCTTGAAAGTTCACCTTTGGACTTTCGTGATTCGTCAGACTAAGATAACTTTCGCCGGGGCGTGATACGTGCACAAAACACAGCATTGAACATGTCGGATGGAGTAATTTTCGTTTGAGTTGAGTGTTCATATGAACGAATAAATTACGGTGTGGTTTATTTTAATTATAATATTACAGGATATTTCATCATCACAATTCGATCGTATGGTTCGTAAGTGAATATTCGCCAAATATGGCTCACGTTTTAGTACGTTGATGTCGAGTATAATTTTCTAGGTTTTGTTTCGTGTTGAATGGCGCTCATTTTTACCCGTCTACTTCACTAGCCCGTATCACAGCTGATATATATATTAATAGTAAGCTTCGGACCGTACAGCGGAATGTAGTTGGACTTTGAACGGAGTCGGCGTGTGGTATTCTGCCCAGTCTCTCATTATTTTTTCTTTTAAATAATTTCAATTTTCTTTTAAATAATTTCAAACGATTCTGTCAATGAGAAATTTATAGATAGAATATTGCTGAAGTATCTAAGAGCCGAACATGGAACGCATTTCCCAATGTGCGACAAACTTTCGTGTTGTGAAAACTATACTCGAAAAGTTGAATTTATTTAAAATTATTTCTCACACAATCGCGATTCGAGTTAGTCTACACGCAAGCTGGACTAATAGACGAAAGGCGCTCGAAATGCTATATAAACTATTACTTCAAATCTGTTATTGGCGGACCGATACAGAAATGAAGACGTCGTTTTTTAGTGGTTGGGAAAGCAAATATCGATACTCAATGATATCGTTTATTAATTTTCATTTGAAGGTTTAATATGGTCTCATCGATTTACACATTAGTAAATAAAACTTTAACATCCCCAATTCTCCATTTTGCTTATGTTAAATTTGATTTGAAGTGTTTTGAGTCTCTAGTATTTAATTACGTCATTGTGATAGCGATTGAACATACGTCAAACGTAGCGGCACAGTTGAATCATTGTTTCTTTGACACTATCACAATGGATTTTATTAAAATAGTAATATCCTGAACAAGGTAATATATATTTGGATTCCCATTCCCTGTTTAGACAGTTATGACGACAAATCCATGAAAAATAATGTTTCGATTTCGCAAAATCCAAAAATCGAATTTAAAATACGTATTTCTGAATACGATACAAATAGAAGTCGTTTGCAATGTATGAAAACAAGCGACACAGTCTGGTTCATCATAAAATGCTTTTCATATACTTTACTATATCAAAACAAAAATGTCACTTACCACCGTCAGCATCTATGTTCACAGTTTCTACAGAATAGACGTCTGCCAGTAAATTCGCAGAAATAATGATTAACATCCATTTATGATATATATAATCGATCATTCTGATCTTCAATTATTTAGAAATAATAGTATTCAAATATCTCTATACGATTTTATCTTCAAAAAATAAAAAACTTTGATATGCTTTTACAAAGATTTAAAAATCAAAAATTCGATAAAATGGTTTCAGTCGCATAAAAAGAAAACTAAATGAATCGAATTGACGTTCTATGATTCAAAATCCAGTTTCAATGTGAAAACTCGAAATTTTCATTTGCACAAAAAACGAATTTTCCATTTTTAGGACTTATAAATTCGCAATCCAATTCACAGTTCCTTGTTTAGATCAGCATTCGATATTGGTTATCGCTCAGACCTCTGAAATTGTCGACTGACTGTAGGACTTATACCAACCGTTTTATGTTGACCAGAGAGGGGAATCTTTGCGAGTCGGTCGAGTTCTCTCTCGTTCAAAGGTCGAATTTCAAAACGAGAGAATGTATTTCCGGCCGGTTCAGGCAAATTTCGGTACATGTTTCTCGATATTTCCGTTTTTGTCATTAATTTATCACGACAATTCGAATCGTTTGTGTGATTAGTTGAACTATACGGTTCGGAGAGACCAGCGCATTATCCTGAAAGGGGAAAAGATGTACGTATATTAAAGAGCGGGCTATATTCAGCACCGTAAGCTCGTCGATACACTGGAACGATGTTTGTAAAAATTGTTTCCCTTATATCTTTAACCAAGCCTTAAGTATATTGCATACTCTTAATACTGTAATCGGCATTTACTTCGTGTCGTCAGAAAAGGAATGCATCCCCAGATTTTTATTCTTTCAAAAAACTACATTCTCGCAAAATCATATTCCAATATTTTTTTTCCTCCAAAAGTATATTTGCACAAAATTTTGTTCCCGTAAGTTTATATTTTTGTAAAAATCAGTTTTCGGTAGATCACATCATCTTGAAAGTATACGTTCCAATAAATTACATTCTGGCAAAAAGCCATTTTCAGAAAAACTACAGTCGCATTCAAGAGTCAGCATTTCAAAAACATGAGTGTTCGTGCAATTTTGCTTTATCCCGAACAAATTGCACGTGCCTAGAAACACGATGAACATTATTTAATATTTGAGTTGCAGTTTTTAACTTGCTTTCGAGTTTCATATAGATACATTTTCTTGTTCCGAGACATGTTCATTCATCAAAATATCATCCCACATACGATTATGGGTCCACATTGGTAGAAATGTAGCACACTAAGTCCACACATTGAGTAAAATATCTCAGATATGTTATTATATTTCCATCTTTATCAATTTGTATATATTCAACATTTGTATGCTATCTATACTAAACTCTCCATTTGTTTATCCTGAAATCTCATGGGCAATTAACCAATACCACTACCGCAAAATACCAACCAGCCTTTAATGAATAGCCTGTAATCTTGTTCCCATACCTAACTAAAAATTCAGCTTTGAAACCACCGGTATTTATTATTACGTCTTTCACTATTTTTCCCGTCAGAATTATCTTATCTCAAGCAATGATTAATTTTTACTACGTGATATTAATTTGAATTCTCAAATTAAACTTGGAACTGTTTTTCGTGATAAGTGACAAAACTAAGCGAGAATTTGTATATTATAAATTATTTGAATATAGAATATATCAAATTATTAGAGAGTTACATTATCTATATCTGAAATTCGGCAAGTCCTCCTTATACAGTAATAAAAGGGATTAATATATATTGTATATTCATATTTTATGTTACATTACAGTGGTTCGCCCTCTCATTCAATACATAAATTATGTATGTTTTATGAGGAATTATTACATTTGAATATTAATCTTTTGATTCTTCAAATTTCACCGTATGCCTTTGATGGTGTCAAGATAAGAGTAACGCTGTACAAAGTGAAAACTTCGTGGTTGCAAAATAGTCTAACACGTCAATCATTTGGTGAAAACAGATTTCAGAAGTCTTACTTGCAATATGTAATTTTGAATGTATAATATTGCCGTTTCATATATGGGGACTTTCGAGATGAGTTCGCCGCTAACCACCTTTTATATTATTGCCCAAGGTTATACTACTAGTATACGTTTGTTTGTTTTCAACTAAACAGGGTCAAAGTATATCGACGCATTTTGGTATCAAAAACCGATATCATTTACTGACTTACATGCTTAAATTTTGTTCATAGTTGAGAATCATGCATCTGTAAAAATGGACTAGAGAGGTTCGAATTCCCCAGGGAAGTCGAATATATTTTGCCAAAAGATAATATTCTAGTTGTGTGAAACATGTGTTTTTAGGTTAAACTAGAGTAAAAATTACTTAAAAATAAAACTTGTTTCGGAAATATTCGGAGACTTGTTGTACACTACAAAGAATGGAAGTAAATTTTATTGTATTTTACATGGATTTTCTCTCAAATATCTGAATTAATTAATGGGGCGGGCTGCATATATGTAACCCAATTTGACACTGAACGATTCTTCTGTTCTTGCATCCGTTTAATTCCATATTGATCAATAAAATCCTGATAATTTGCAGGAGTTTTCATACGATCTATTTCTCAGTCCATGCTGATAAAAAGTGCAACTATTGATTTTTATAATGAGTTAGCTTATTTGCAAAAATGCACGAACTGGATTCATTTTATGAAAAATAGTCTTGTTCAGCTTAAAATGTTCGCAATTGCTCGCAGTCATGACTGACCAGCCCCTTCAAATATTTTGCGTAATAAGTGAAGGTGAAATGAATTGCCGTAAAAGTTGTATCTTTTATATATTCTGCAAGTATATTATATATAGATAAAGCATATATTCATTTGGTTGGCTCGCAAAGAAAATATTCAATATTTCTATATTATAATCAAAAAAAAAAAAATAAGCATCAAATGTCATTTGGGGGCTCTACGAGGGGGGCTGAAACTTGTGACGTCACATGACGGCATTCTAACATGTTCATTTTTGGATGGTAGGAAATAAACAAGAAACGCGAAATTTTTTTGTTGTTTGAATTTTAAGTGTAGGAATAGCATTGCATGGACTAAATTTCTAGAATGCCGAAGAGGTGTTACTGTAGAGGTAGACAGACGCATTGTACGAGAGACAGTGCTATAGAGAGGATTGTTATTAGCATCTAACCTAACCGGAACCTGGCGTCAATATTCGATGGGCCGTTCTAATTCCCGTGATTCTTAAATGGGGTAGGTATTATATTTCGATTCTCACCACTACTACTTAGTACTTATAGGACTTCTTATAAATCTTATACGACCATTTGTTGTGTTATCGTTGATGGTTTAACTTCATATTCGCGTCTTGACCCACGAGCCACGACACTTCTGTGTCGCATGTATGGACACAGCTCTTTGTCAGCATATAGTGGTCGCCATTCGGCAATACAGGCATGAGGTTATTTGATTTTACATTGTATAAACCGCCTTACCACGTAAAGCTTTTATGTGTTTATCTTGTCTCTCTCGACTTTATACGTATTTTTCTTCTTCTCAGTGTAAACAATATTGTATGCAATGTTTGTATGCTAGCTCTACCAGTGCAGACCAACCGTTAAGCTCAGTGGTTCCCATCCTTTATATGAAATTCACCCCTTTGCCTATTTTGCAACTCTTTATTCTTCTCCGAGTGTGCATATATAACTACTTTATTCATTCAATCTTCAAAAGATCCCTAGGTAATGGTATGCGTGAGTCGTATTCCCGTTTTTGCACAGCTTAAGTAGTTTTTATTGTGTGCACAAATAGGTATTACAATAATAATATTAACAAGATAGCAATGCTCAAATATATAGACACGAAGACCAAGACGATGTAGTATCGAATCTTTCACAGGATCGGTATTCAGACGACCAGATCCTCGAGATGTGATCACGGAACCACGGCAAGCAATTTTTAATTTTGATGACGTCTTTCTTTACGCAAAACTTCAAAGTGAAAAACGAATCCCATAAACCCCACAGGTAATTTTGAAATGAATAAAAGTAATAGCTTTCTAGTGACAACAACATTCTGAAAATTTCAAAGTAATTAGTCCAGTAGTTGAAGAAAAAAGCGATTTTTCGAAACAACATAATAATAACAAGACGATCGACCGGCTTACTTCGTGTTCAATAATATTGAAAAATTAAATATAATAATTATACTACAGCAAATACAAAGCAAAATTCCTCTCCGATTGGTTAACGTTGCTTCCAGCTCAAGGCACACCCGGTTTGTCACGGCACGCTCTGGAGCACTAATTATCTTATATGAACATACGTTATATAAATATTAAAGAAAACTCGCAACAAATAACTTACGAGAAATAATTTATTAAGAACGGTCTTACATATACATCTACAATTTTAATGTGTCGACAAAAATGCTTTTTTTTGACCTGCTTATGGTCTTCGACGATTATTGATTATAGTAATTTCAAATTTTCACGCCCAAGTTAGAAGAATCAATGACTGAGCTCATATAACCCTCAATGAAATAGTTCAACGAAATTTAAAGATAAATAAGCAAAAGATCGATGCTTAAATATAAGTACACGAAAGCCAGAGCGAAGTAGTACTGGTATGCAATCCCTACCGGCACAGTAGTGTTCACGTTTAACGCGATCGCGTAACCGCCACAAGGTGCGCAATTATGGATGATGTCGGCGCACACAAAAACGAATCCCATAGAGCGCTTTAACGCAATATGTCCAGTATAGTTTGTGAGAATTGGGATTTTTTTCCTAACGATAAGAAGAAAAATACCAACATGAACAACAACATAATAATAACAAAACGATCCATATGTACATTTCGTGTCCAATAAAAATTATTACGTCAATAGATTTCTTAGGGTGGATGAACTGTCGTCATATAGAGAAAACGTTTTCCAGAGTCAACTAAAGCGTATATCTGACCGTAACGATGCAAGTGAAAACTGAATTCATTGGAATTATTTAGAATGCTATAAAATACAAAATTTGGTTTGAATATACTGTTCATCATTCTCAATTAGTTATGTTGTTTTTCGTTTTAGAGTCTCATTTGTTGCAGGAATAACAGCAACTATGACAACAATCACTGATCACTCGTC